CCAAGGTTTAACAGCAGAAGAAGCAGAGCCAGCTGCACAACCAGGTATGCTTGGCATAGGTGTGGGCTAACAACATCACTTTGCTCCTTTTCCCATTTGAAAATCCAGCTCTGTTCACGCGGAGATCCCTACTTCAGCCACAACAGCAATTAATCTGGAAACTGAAAGCTGCGGTTAATTAATCCATTCTCAAAAAGCTTTCTAAGTTGTCGGACCAAATAGTTGTAGAAGATAGAATTCCACAGATTATTTTATTTTATCTGCGCACTAAGAAGACTTGGAACAAAAGTGACTGTAACAACATTTTCGTTAGAAAGTGAATTAAGTAACCTTAAGCAGGACGATGCTGTCCACAGATGATACAATCACCAACCAGTCGTTTCCACTTACACACCTCCACGTACACCTTAGAGACACAAGATTTGTGTTACTCCCATTTTACACCTTAGAGACGCAAGATTTGTGTTACTCCCATTTTACACATGGACAAACGGCAACACAGCTGGCTACGAGCCCCAGGCATCACACAGAAACCAGAATCCCAGAGACAAACCGAGAGCATTTTAACTCCTCCATCCTCACCCTGGCTGGGCTTAAGTTCAAGAACAGCATCCTGAACCTCCTCTGTGCTCTGGAAAATAAGGGGAGATACCAGGTTTACACAACCTGAGTATTGAGCCCAGCACTACATACTTATAATAGGCCCAAATGAAACACTTAAAAATCTGAGAGTTTAACAACTCCACAATCAGCTGAGCTGAAGCTGCTTCCCTTCAGCAGGGAAGTTTAAAAACATACACACTGACTAGGGATTTCGGTCTCTAGTGTCTCAATTGTTGCTTAAGAGTATTTGAAAATTAATTGCATTTCATGGTTGGCTAAACTCCCTGGAGAAACATTTATTGTAATGTTAATGAGAGATAATTACATAAGTAAATGGTTCACCTGAAAAGTGTTTAACACCTAACTTGCTTCATCAGAAAGTCGTTCCTTAATGGTCTCTATTAAATAAATGATGTCTCACTCTTAATTTCAAAGCAAGTATTGCAAACAGGTACCACTGAGCATTAACTGTGCACAGTCACCTCTGCAACAGACCCAACTGAGGGAAGGAGAGTTGTCACATTAACTCAGTCATTTCAAGCCTTTCAATAACTGCTTTGGGTTCTCCTTTTTTCCAAGCCACTACAACGTTTTAAATCACCCTCCTCCACAATAGCCTGAATGGTAAATTGCCTTGCAGCCCTTTATTTTCTTGATCCATGAAGTGAGTTTTGGCTCCTCTGGGAGAACACAGACCACTCAACCAGCCACTTAGTATTAAAATATATAAAAGGCCTCTAAAACCACGTGTGTTTTGGGAACACAGAGAGGATACAGAGCCTGCATCACCGCAATGTGATGTCTCAAATCAGAAAGCCATTAATATTTCAGGAGCCTCTTTGCAAAGGCCCTAAACAAAACAGAGAGAACACTGTCATGACAGATCCTTCTGGTGTCAATAGTCTCCATAGTTTTGTTTTTGCTTTTTTTTTTTCCCCAGAACAGATGAAAAAAGGAATTTCAGAAGGACCCTCAAAGCTGAAAACACATGGATGACTGGTACACATTTCACAGCATGTCAGTCAAACACTGTGTCTGTACAGGAACAGGAAATCCAGCAACGATAACTTGCATTTCTCAACAACTTGACCCTCTCCTCTACAGCCCTCACTTGAGGGGAAGAAGAATTATTACCCCTATTTTATACTGGAGCTACTTCCATATTTATTTTGTAAAAAAGTACATATATGTTGTATTTTCATACCCATATAATTTTTAGAAAGTGGAAAGCACACAGCACTGCCTTCTGATACAACATTAACATCAACAGCAACATCCAGATTCCTGGAGGAAATGTTACCATTTATGAGCCCTAGTAAACAAGATGAATGTAATTCTAAACAAACAGGACAAGAACAATGCAGCTGAAAGTCCCCAGGCTAAGCTGAACTTGCTATCAAACAGGATGGACGCTGCTGGAAATATAAGTTTTTTTCCCTAGGAAGACAAGAGGAGAGGTTCTTGGAGTAGTTTTAGGAACTCCCAGAGACCAACAGGAGCAGCAAAGCATTAGAAAAACCTCAGTGCAACTTTGCTGAAATTCTACTTCCTCTGGGATGAGGGAAGGGGCAGAGATTATTCTGCAATTATTTACACTAGTGGGGAAGTGCTCACTGTCTTTAAATTGCCAGTAACAGCTTGAGTCTTCAGGGCAGGGTAGCAAGTCTGCAGCATGGAATTGCAGGAGTTCCCCCTCTGCCCTGGAGGAATTGAGCAGGAACTTGCTCTGGGAGTTGCATGGAAAAAGATAGGTGCAGTGGGGGAAGAATTTAAAAATTCAAACCTAGGAAAAAGGAGGAAAAAAAACAAAGCGAGAACCCAAGAAGAATTTTTAACCGAGAAGTTTCATTTTTATCCTCCATAATTGCAGCTGTGTCCTGGTCCCCTCCTTGCCACCTAGTGCAGAGATCTCCTGCTTTTCTGCAGCTTTTCTGATTCACACTGGTGTGCTCAAGCAGCTCGGGATGAGAGGATTCCTGCATCCATCCTGCTTCCAGGGCTGCATTTTCCTGTCAAACTTGACCCTAGTTACACATGAAGTGGAGAGAACTCAGTTCAGGAAAATGTGCTGCTAATGCACAGCTAAGCTCCAAATTCCTCATAAAAGCCTTAACCCAAAGCTCCCAGAAATCACTGGAAGATGCACACTGATGCCAAGATAGCCTCTGCTTTGTAACAGAGGGATCAGAAAGACCAGGGAGAGAAACAATACCAAGGAGCAAGGAAATGAAAAGATTAAAACCAACTCCACAAAACTCTTGCAGCTTCTGTGATGCAAGCCAGGCTCTGCTTTACTTCCAACATCCCTCGCACTGTTTGACATCTTTATGTAGGTCCCAAGACGAGCTCCTCTCCTTTGCAGCCCTTCTTGCCCTTCCAGATCAACCCCCTTTCTGCCCAAATTCCTCCTGGACCCAAAGAGAGGCTCACAAACAGGACCTGCACCTTCTGCAGCAGAATGACAGCAGGGAGAAAACCATGAGATAACATAACCATGATAGTCTGGCTAATCCAGCCCAGGACACGGTCTGCAAATGTAGGGCAGCAGTGAGATCTAACACCAGCATCATCTACATTCCACACACGGGTGGGGGTGTGTTTACACCCCTGAACTCTGCTGTGGCACCTGGGGAAAGGCCTCTGCTGAGAGGCTGTGGCAGCACTGCTAGTCTGCTATCACACCAGTGTAAACTACGAGTAGCTTTTACACCAGGTCCTCACTCAGGGCACAGGCACTCCACAGCTGCTCCTGGGTCACAGCAAACCAGCCCAGGTCTGGGATGTTCCTGTGAAGCCTGCTGTGGGCACTGCACTTCATTATTGCAAATCTAACAAGAAATCTACAAATTAATTTTTAGGTTGTGTGTTTCGTCTTGGGTTTTGGTTTAGGTTTTTTTTTTTTTTTTCCTGTTTTGTTCTGGTTTTTTTCTTCAAACCATTCTTACACTCCTGATAAGATCTCAGATATCAGGGAGAAAATGCTCTTCTGCCATTACCACTTATTTTAGTAATGTGTGCCTTCTCTCAAAGTATTACACTGGCAAAAATGCCATTTCACTGGCACAAAAGTACACGGCAATGCTGGGGACATTTGCTGGCATTTTTCTATCAGTCATGTCCTGCTGTTTCAGACAGGACTGCATGAGGCCATGGACCTCTCTGTAAAGTCTCAGGTGGTCTTAGTTCATATCCTTCCTGAAAAATGCAGTCTGAGAGGTCACTGCTCTCAGCTGCTCATCAGCTTTCCTCCTCTGGAAGCTCTGAGTGGCACTGATCTGTCCAGACAGCAGGATGGAGAAAGTTTTCCTAATTCAGGGCTAGGAAAGGGTAAAAAAAAAAACAACCCAAAACCAAACACACACACACACACACACACACACACACACACATATATATATATATATCCCACCAGCTTCACTTAAAAATTTAAAATAGTGTTTTGAGCTAACACAGATAAAATTATCTGAAGCAAACCAGGGTGTGCTTATCCAACAGACTGCCTGCTCAGTAGACAGCATTGCAAAACCCAGGAGAAAATATCTAACTATAGATATTGATATTTCTAATTCAATAATGCTTATCTTTTGGGAGAATTTTCAAAACTGCTATTTTCTTCTTAAGCTCAGAGAGCCACCCCAACACAAGAGGAAAAGAGCTGTCCATATTAAATCAGCTCTCTAAATTCATTTCACCCTCATAAAATTTTATTGCAAAAGATGATATCAGACACACTTTAAGTAAGAAACCCATGACTCAATTATTTTCTTTTACTGAACTGTGGTATTCCAATTGAAATGAGTCAGTGGTGCATGACAGAATCTACTTATTCCAACAGGATACTCAATAAAAATCCTACTAATACACCTTTCATTTTACATATTACTGATAGAGAAAACCCATGATATGCAGCTCTGACATTGCTCAGGAGATTTTGTTCTTGGGGCAAGGGAGATGTTTCAGAAAAGTGAGATAAAAACAGGGAGTTAAAGAATAGGATTATTCCAAAATAACTTGGAGAGTTTTATACCAGCACTCACACAATGTCTTAGGAAATGCTGGCATTTCAACACAAAGCTTACTTAAACTCTCAAGATTTCTTGGAATTTAGGAGGAAAGATGTGAAATAACCGGACTTCATGGGAGTTGTAGTTCCTTGTTCATAGAGGTGGCACAAGTCGAGCCAGTAGCTGCAGACCACCAGCAGCCTGTTTTACAACTCTGCAAAGTTTAGTGTCCTTCTAGTAAGAGCAGAAGTTGAGACAAGTCTGCTTCAATAAATATTTTTTACTGACTGGCAGATGTAATTTAATATTGAAACAGAGCCTCACATGAATCACTGTTGAATATGAAACAAAAACAAACATGTTTAGCAGCAATCTTCAAAGTTTTAATCATAATTTTGGGGAAAATTCTCATTAAGTTCTACCAGAAATCTGTGTCAAGGCATGACCTTAAAGATCATCTATTCCCAACCTCTTGCCATGGGCAGGGATGCCCACCCACTGGATGAGGTCAATCAGCTACAGTGGCTCACCAATACTGGATATTTCTCCTTTCACCATTTAATGATATTTAGAAAAATAACATAATAGACCTGACCAAGCCCTCACATTTGACACGCCAAGCTTTTTACATACACCATGCACCACTCAGCACAAAAGGCAAACATCTCTCTCAGGACATCACCACAACCATCAGTCCATCTGCCTCTCCACACCCTCAGCAGCCAGGTGCAGTTCTGTAAACCTTGAAAAGATTAGAAAGCATTTAAATCTAAAAGAAAAATATATGGATCGCTTTATAAAAACAAAAGACTGACTGTGAATGTGAGGAAGGAGAAAAGGATGAGGAAAAAGTTTCAGTAAGCTCAGATCTGTCAAGAAGATAGACTTCACATGCCTCAGTGTTTTCTTTATCACCTAAATAAATTGAACCATCAACTGGAAAAAGGTCACACAGCAGACAGCAGTGTGTGATTTTAAAGCTGTTAGATTTCCCCTCCTCCATTAGAGCTTGACAACAATGTCAGTCTAAGGGCAAATAAAGAAAGTGAGAGTTGGAGAGACTTATTTCAGATGCATAGAGTTGGATTTGTTTGGCTGTGGAGGTTTTTTTGTTTTAAGACTTCATATAACTCATTGTGTACCTCAGTGGTCAAAATGACAGCTGCTCACATCCATAACCCATTGCTCCCCCCAGTTTTTGTTGTCGAAGTAGGTAGGCAGCACTCAACTCTTCCATTTTCTCAGCATCTGAATGACTTAGCAAGCAAAGTTAAACTGGATGCTTCCAAAAAAAAAAAAAAAATGGAAATGCAGAGCGTACTGCAGAAGGTAAAATACAAACTTACCAGACTACAGGAAACTGAGGATAACACACCAAAATGCACCCAGTCACATTCAACAGCAACCTGATCCCTACTGGAGCTCCATTTCTGCATTTCAAAGGAGACCACAGGCTAGATAAGAATACAGTGAATTTATTTCAGCCATGATGGATGAATTTTATATTACCAATACTTCATAGATAACTGAGTGACTGTAAAAGTTCAGGCTAAAAATAACACATGTTGGCAACTATCAGAAACCATCAGGATATTTTTCAATTAGAAGGAAAAAGGCAGAGAAACAGTTGTGCCTTGTCTACACTGAAAAATGAAGGGAAAATAGAGAAGCGTGGTGCTGGCCCATCATGGGAAGACAGATTTGCACCAGCTTCAGGCAAAACATTGTTCAGTTTCCACAGTTATAGCAAAAATGGCTTTGTTTGGAGAGAAATGCCACGCTGCAGTCGAGAAGCTCATCAACACTCTGTCCTGATGAGGAACAAAAATCAAGGCTTTCAAGCCAGAGCTCACTTGATAAAACACACATTTATCACACTTGTGAGCAGCCAAGACATGAGCTCCACGAGTCACAACCGTGTTTCTGTCCGTGGGTGATGGGGAAGAGGTGCTTGCTCAGACTTCCCAGGAGCTGTGCATCCTTTGCTTGGCACCCCTCGAGCTGTGCCACTCAAAACCTGACAAATAAAGCAATTCGAGTCATTTTTTGGTGGCATGCTGTCTTTAAAAAGCAGGCACTTGTTGCATCAGCAGACCATGAAATGTATATAACCAAGTCATAATAAAATCCATTTCAAACACAAGTATTTGTTTACACAGAGCTTTCACCTTTTTAATTAAAACAACCCAAGCACTGGCAAAGGCAAACACTTAATGGCATTACATTTCAGATGCATTTCCTTAAAAGCCATTCACTAAGATCCAGAATTCTGCATAAAGCCTTGAACTTACATTTCCATTTCCTTGAGTTAGTTATCCCTTTTTTCCCAAATTACTTGGCAATGAATATGCATTAGACATGACCTCAAAATTAATTCAATATTTAGGCAGTTCATGCAATGTTTTAAATACACAGCCCATTTTCCAAGTTTAAATGACATATTTGTAATTTGATACCTTTAGTTGATGTAAACTGTGGCTAAAGCACGTTTTCCTGTTTTCAAACATGGATCACCCCGATTGAGACAACCCTCATCCCTCTCTGGGCTGGTTTTTGCTCCACAAGTATTTAGTTGTCATTAATCCTTCCCTACAGCACCTGTTTAAGTGCTGAGTCTATGAAAACAGGATCATATGGAAATAATTATTTTTCAGTAACGTGGGCTGAGCCTATTGCAGGGCAAACACTGGAGCTCACTGCATCCAGACAGCTGCACACTGCTGACATTGTCAGCACAATATACCAGCATATGCTTAAATATGAACAGTTAAATATTTTACTACTAATTACTTCAAAAAACATCCATCTCCAGACTTATCTATTATGGTCATTTATTCAGGTTATAGCCAGGTAAATTTTCTCTCTTATATTAACTCATATATTAACTTTTATTATCTCATCTCTTATGGATGGGATGGATGATGCTTCTTTATCCCAGAGTTAGTGTTTGTAGAAGGTAGAGCCCAAGTGTGGTTAACACACACCAGGCTTGGTACAACAAATTAAAGTCTGAAAAATACCCTGATGTCCTGTGCTGTAAAAATTAAAGTTCCAATTTCCAGCAAAGGTTTTTTCCACACTGTACTTCTCTCACCACCGATTCAAGCACTAACAAAGCCTACTCAAGGCTTACAACTGTAGAAATACCAGGGAAGGCTGGGAACAGGGCTGGGCTGTTTGAAAACTTGTGTTACTCACTCTGCTAGTTCCCTAAAACAAAACATCCCACATGCAAGAATTCATAATGGCCAATTCAGAAAAAATATTATTTCCATACAAGCCGTTCCACAGCTCAGGCATTCAGCTGCAGATTGTTATGAGCATTTTTTAGCCAGCTAAGCCTCAACATCTTGTCTCACAAGGGGAGCTTTGGAAACAGAGCACAGTAGCCTTCCCTCTCCTGGCCATGCCAAGACCCTCATGATTTAACACACAGCTCATAGATCAGCTGCAGCCCCACACTCATAACAGTTTTAAGACAGAACATGAGCTGTTTGAAGGGCTATATTTACACAGGACCAAAACCAGACAACCAAAGTTCCACATGACATGACAGCTCTATAGTGCTCCCACCCAGCCCAATCTCCATTGGAAATTAAATAGCATCTGCTTCTTCTCAGGTTAAACACCAACCAGATTTGCACCAGCCTCTTTGGAAAGGTTTTCATTTGTGAACAGACATTTTCTGCTGTGAGTTTGAAACAAAACATGGTGATTATCTAACAAGCATGAACCTGCATCCATAACCCCTGTGCCAGCACAAAGATAAAAGCCAACCCTTACTGGTTATTTTGAAGAATCAATGTTAACCATTCAATCGATTTTTCTTTTCCGCTCAGCACTCAAATCAGACTTCATCTGTGCCTGCTGTGGCCCAGTGGACTCAATTTCAACACTGCACACAGAAGGCACACCTCTGAATAAATGTCCTGCACACTCTGGTGTCCAAAGAAGCTCCACTGCATAGTGACACCAGCTCTCCTCCAAGGGGAAAGCAGGCAGACTATGCCATAGCCTCTAATTTCTCACTTCTAATCAATGCACTGATAAATCTGGTGGCACTCTCATGGTATTTTAAATGTGTAAACAATAATATTTTTTGTTGCTGTAAAGCTGCACAGTAGTCCTCAGGCATCTGCTGTTTGTATTTCTGCTATGACAGTAACAGTCAAGCGCCATCAATGAAAACTCATGGTCTGTTGAAAATTTAGAGAAAAAAAAAATCACCTCAGAGTATACTGGGTATGGACTGACAGCTTCTTTTTGAGCTGTGGTGACACGCTGAAGACAAAAGATAACAAATAATACTGACTTTATTTTTTTTTTTTTTTTCAGATATTCGTAGAATACTGACTGTAATTCCTTAATACTGACTTTAATTCTCTTTTTTTGGCAGATACTCGTATTTGCAGCCCTTCATAGAATGGCTTGAGTTGGAAAAGACCTTAGAGATCATCCAATTCCAACCCCCAAGTTCTGGTTCCAAGTTCAACCAGAATAGTTTGAAAAAACTAATTCCCTTTTCATATGGCCATGGCTGCATGTTAATCAAAACAAATTTTAGTCATACAATGATAAAAAGCCAGCCCACCTTAATTTCCTAGCTGCACTTAACAGTGTCATCAGTCTTAGGAAGGCAGTGTATGCTTTGCTGAAATGGATTTGCCATTTTGACCAACAGATAGTTAGAGATGGTATGAGATTTTTCTCGTTTGACCACAAATTCAGTGCAAGTTTCTTCTCTACCACTGCTCTGACACCTTCATTCAATTAAATGTCTCTGACTTCTAACAAGAGATAAGAATCAGGCCAGTATTGAGCATTTCAGTGATCTGACTCTTTTATTGCCATCACTGCACTTTAGCGCTTAAAATTGCTTAAAATATTTATTTTCAATAAAACCTAGAACTTTCCTTGTTGTAACAATCACCTCCTAAACCTGAATGAATACTACAGCAGGGTGAGGGTCGGTGAGTCAGAAGCTGCACCAGAACTAAAAGAGAGAAGGAATTGTTGGTATTCATTTCAAGGGAACATTCATTCCAACTGATATTTCAAATGTCAAGCTGGTATTAACTGCATCAAGCACTGATCAAAATACACAAGACAAGAGATTGCTGAGAAAATTATCACAAGCATCTAAATTGGCTGTCATCACTAGGAGTTAGGGAAGGTACAAGCCTTTAGCATCTCCCTCTGCACCCTTCTGCTGAGGCTCCGTGTATTTGATGGCCTGATATAAAAGACAAACTCTCTCTCAATAAATTAGAGGGGACAAAAGGTAGCTAAGAAATAGCACTTGCTCCACAGCCTGCTGGCACATGACTGCCCATTGATTTAGGACACTGGGGGGGAATTTCTGCTTGGCTCTGTGCACACACAGCTTTCAGGAACAGCCCTGTACCTGATTTGCTGAATATTACAGAAAGTTTATAGAGTATATAAATTCTTTATAAGATCAAAACTGCTGTGATTTACTCACTCTAATAATTCACAATTTCACCAAAATCCAGTTTAAAGTGGAAACTGATACAATATTAAAAATCAATGACAATTAGACCCAAAAAAAAATCTTAGCTAAAGTGATGTAGGTGATTCCTGGGCAAAGGGACCAGGTAACTTCTCACCATCTCTTTCAGCCTATTTCTGCTGCTATCAAAAACACTGAAATTTTTAAAAGCAGAAAGTTAATGGAAGGAACAAAACCCCTCCTCAGCATCTTCTGAAAGTGAACATGGCTCTTCATGTCCTGACAAGCAGGTTTCCACGAGCCTCAACACAGCAATTAAAGATATTATTGCCTCTTTATTTTGCTCCTCTCTCGGAAATTACAGCTCCTTTCCCAGGGACCACAGAAGGGCTGTGTCCCTGCCCAGGCTCAGCCGGGCGCATTAACACAGTCCCCAGTGACAGCTCATGCTAATATGCCACACAATAAGTGTGATTAACGGATGTCCTGACACATTCCCTCCTGCCACGCTGTCACAGGGGCAGGGACACGCAGCAAGCAGCCAGGCAGGGATGCTGGAACGCACTGCAGGAGGATTTTCCAGAGGACACAGGTCAGACCCCTTGGAACAAGCAGGATCAGTGCTTCAGCTGCTCCCAGAAGATAGTAAAACCTTTTTTTGGAAGAAGAATAGCTCTAAAGACAATAAAATGTTGGAATTCCAACAGAATGATCCTTAAAATAAAGCCATATGATGTAAAAAATACTAGACAACACATAAACTTACAAAATGAGAAAAACTGATATAATGGGAGACCAAGGTCTGAGGATTTTAGGATCACAGAATAAATGGAATTGGGAGGGATCTACAGAATCAGCAAGTCCTAGATGTTCTAGAACAATGATTAACCTTAACATTGCCTCCCATGCCACAAAGGAACTATCCTGTATGCTAATGTAAGCAACATATAATCATCAACGTAATACTTTTTATTACATGAAAAATTAAAGAACCATCTTCCACATTGAAATAATTCTTCACCATTGAACCCCTCTCCTCTCTCACTGAGTTTTGGATTTTTGGAACACCAAACCTTGCCAGACCAAAACTAATTCTGAGAATGTCACAGCAGTACACAAAGCTTTTTGCTCTGCAAAATATTGATATGACACCTCTAGAGCAGTTATCCATATGTGAATTCCCTGTCAGACCGATATCCAGAAGTACTCAAGAAGTGGGAATGCAGCAAGCAAACCACAGGTCCAGCCCCACTTCAATAGGAGGGGAAAACTCCTTTTTGCCCCAAAACATTTGGGGCACAGATTGGGCCCAAATGCCCTCGCCAGTCCCTGTCTCAAGCTGGAGCCTTTCAACACTCGGCCTTTGAAGAACCATAAAATCTAAAATGTTATTTTCAGCACATGTGTTCAGTGGTGAGAGCATACTGTGAAGGCAGCTCTTCCTGTTCACACTCCAGCACTTTATATTTCCAACTTCCTGTAACTATTCACACTTCCTAATAACAGCTGGCAGCGGACATGCATTCAGCAAAGTTCACACAGACTCAAAAAATACCAATAATAATAACCAGCTGATACTTTCCTGATAAGATGACATTTACAGGTAATGATGTAGTAGACCACTGGTAAGTCCCAGTTTTTGTTTTCTGGGTTATTTGGGCTTTTGTTTGTTTGTTTGGGTTTTTTGTTTAAACAACAGGGCTAGTTTCTGTAACTTGTATAAGTCCGTATCAGCTTATTGATCTAAGAGTTATCACCAGTAAAACCAAAGCAGAATTAGGGCAGCAGTTTGTTATTTTAAGAGTCCTGATGGTTTAAAAAGAACACAAAAGGTTTCTAAAAACAATTTCCAAAGGCTCAACTCATGCAGTAGGGTGTGAAGACCACCCAACTCAAGCAGATCAAATGTATAATTTAACACACTGTGCAGGCAGACGTTATGGGACCTGGAAAAGCAAACAGCAACTCTGAAAAATTGTTAGCTACACATCTGGTTTTTGGTTTTCTTCCCACAGACACTCAGTCTGCACCTTTGAGATCAGACATGTCCTGTTTGCTCTGCCAGTGGTAAGACGCTGTCCACTGATAAGGAGATAAGGATTACTCTCAGCTCCTACGGATGCTCCGAGGTGCATTTTTGAGTGCCGTTGGTTTTGATTAAGAATTCACATGTACAATTTTGAGATAAGGCTTTAAATAAGCACACCTATGGTCTTGGTATTTTTACTTCTTCTTCACCCACATTTCCATTGCTGTCCTAATCTGAATTCCTATTTAAGGCCAAGAAACCACCAGACAAGGCACGATGCAGACACAAGAATGTCTCTGATTTCAGTTATATTTCAGTTATATATTACACCAGCTCAATTTTCATCCCCATTTACAATATCCTTCATTTGAGTCTTCTGGTCTTTCAATGCCTAAATGGCACCAGAATTGTTGCAAGACAAAGCTTGGGTGAGCACAAGCCAGCAGTCACTACAGCACAGTCCAGCCAGCCATGTGGATGCAGCTCCAGCATGACTTACAGGGTATCAATCCTTCAGGAATTTCCCACAGTTCCTCTCCTTGTGCAAAAGGAAAGACAAGTTTTTTGCCTTTTATGCTGCAAAGGCATAATCACAAAACTTATCTTGATGCACTGCAAAAGAAGACAGGATGTGCTCCCAGGCATCTCACCCAGATCTCAAGTGAGGGTACAGCCGGTCAGGACACAGAACCCTGAAAGTCACTTCCAAGGGTGCTGCTCATATTTAAGATGGACACACTCAAGAGAAATGTCTTGAGTAGCAATGACTTGGGTTATGCACAAGAAATCTGTGTCCCAAAGAGTTTATCACCTAAATCAGAGTATTTTCAATGCTGCTTGTGAGCGTGTGTACTCTGAATGCTCCAGACTGAAAGGACTCTCTGTTTTTTTATTAAATGGGTTAATTTATCTCCACCTGAACGTTTGCTTTCCTGCAGAGTTATTAAATTGTCAGACTTTCAGGTGAATGCACAGTGAACAAAGGGCTGCTCCACTTTCACTTATCTAAATTCTGCCAGATCAATAAACACCCAAGCAGTGGAAACAATCTTTACAATTCACAATTAAGGCATCAAGCCTGACTGAAACCAACCACACTGCCAGCAGCCAAACAGAGGAACCATACCAAAACAAAACTACCCCACAGCACTCTGTACCTACAGCTCCAGCGACTGAAAACTTGCTTTCAGTTTCTTCCAACTCAAGCTCTACCCACATGAGTAGACAGACATTAAAGCCAGAGGTACCTGCAGAAATAACATGCTAGACAGAGCCGAGAAACACTGCAAAACCAATCCTCAGCTGAGGTTTGACAGAGCCTACCCAAATGAAATCTGCTTCCCATCCAGCCCTGCAGAGCACATCACCCCAAGCTGATCCCAGCCTCCAGGAATGAGGCTGTCTCCCCTCTTTGTCCCCAGGAATACGCTGGTCTCATCCTGCTACGGGAGCTGCGGGATCACAAAAAGCAGCCACATGCAGGAACATCTAATCCAGCAACCCGGGGAGAACACAACAGCAGCACGGAGGATTTTGTTACCCACTCGGGTTCTACAAACGGAATACCAGATCCCCAGACAAGGAGCACGCCATCCATAATTAAACAGCAAACTTTGCCATCTACCAGCCACTTGTCTCCAGGAATATCCAGCTGCACACCACGACTGCTACCAAAGGACACAAATCATGGAAGTTCAGCCTCTTCTGCTAACTAAGTGACAAAGGTGTGAGAGAGCATCACCAGCTCTGTTTTTCCCACATTTTCTTTTGCTGCACATCTACAGTAAACATAAAGGCTTCCTGACAGAAAAATAGACACCTAAAGTATCTAAAAAATCTCATGCAAGTAACACCAAGAGTTTAGAAATTCACGCTAATACAGAAATTGGAACATTTCCTTACAAATACAACCAAAACTTTCTGAGAGATCCCCAGCACCAGATTGCCTGTCCCCAGGGAACAGCAAAGTATGCAGATAATTAAGCTTACTTGAGTTTACAACTTGTAACCTTCGTGTCATTTTATGGAAACAAACTGTATTTAAGGAAAAAAAAAAAAAGGAAGAAAATATTTACATTTTGACAACATACAACTTGTTCACATGAGCCACCACCAAATAAGTTTCCATATGTTATCAGGAGGAGGTTTACAGTCTGATGTGACCCAGTGTACACATCCTAGACTTCCAAAGGATGGCTCACATCCCGCTGTCAGCACTCAGCAGCCCCCAAACCCATCTTTCACTTATGGTTATTCAGCTCCTCTGCAACTGTTTTCACTGAAGTATTTATAGCATCTATCTTCAAAACACAAGTTTTGCCCTCTGGAAAGGAGCTAATTGTACCACCAGCTTTGTTCCGCACTGTCCCATTTCCGTCCTCTTTCCCAATCTCCTCAGTTTTTTGAAGTCTTTCTTCCTCTATTTTTCCTAATACTTGACATCCTTATTTCCACAGTCATGCTTAGCCAAGTTACCACCTCCACCTTCCTCTATCCAGTGTCCTCACTTTCTCAGCCTCATCTCCTTGTTTTCCTTCTCGCTTTTGACCGATTCTTTCTCCATCACTAGTGTCACTCCACCTCTACAGGCAGCTCCTCTTTTTCTCTACAGCAACATTCCCAGCAGACTCTTCCATGCCCATTTCCCCCATAAAACTGTCAAACTTGTAGACCACACCAGCAACTACATGAGTTCCCTAAAGACCATGACAGGATCTTCACAATGACAATAACGTCTGGAAGCACTCACTCTGTCATAATATTCCAAACAGCCTGAAGGAAAGGGAGCCAGGTAGCCTCTGACCTCAGCAGCAGGCACACAGCTTGTATGGACCCATGCCTGTGGATTCCTCAAAGCTCTTTTTATTCCAGGTATCCCAGTGTGGATGCATTGAAGTCAACCACCAACCTTATGAAAACAGTAAATTAAAAGCACACAGAGCACACGTCTCACTTTGGGTGGGGGCATCGACACAAGCCAGAGATAGGAGTATTTGTAGGGTGTAAAATGATAAGGGCAAACGGCTCAGCACATGTATTTTGTTCACAAAGAACAGTTCCAAACTTTTGTCTTTTAAGGACACGGAACACAGGACCTATTTCCAGCCATACCATCCATCACCAGCCCACTTCATAAAGATAATGCTCGCTCCCAATCCGTTATCCCTATGGCACAAGAGGATGGGAATGAGGATGGGAATATCATCCCCACAACCTCCAACTCCAACAACTGATCACAGGCCAACTTCACACAGCTCCAACAGGTTGTGTTTCCTTGGGACAATGAGTGAAGCAGTATTTTTTGGTTAGGAAAGACATATTGCAGCAACAAGGGACAACCCGTAAGGGAGTGTCTCCAGGGATGGAGGTGACACACAACACCGGTGTGTCCTGCACAGCCAGATCGCACCTGTGCAGGGCCAGGAAAAGCAGGAACGGGGCAAATGCTTGTCCAGATTTCAATGTAATTCTTCCAAGGGGGATATTCCACACACCTGTGTCATTGCCATATTTATCTCCCTGGAGAGGGACCCGCTCCATCACCAACCACCGAAGCTGTGACCCTGCGGAACTCCTGTCACCTCACACTTCCCTCCACAGGTGACAAGGAACACCCGGGACTGCTCAGGGGATGGAGGACAGGAGTGACAGCTCACCAAAAACCTCAACCCCTCAAAGCCCCACGAGGTGACAGGCGGAGGAACGGACCCCCACCCTGGGCAGGGGTCAGGGCTGGGGACGCGGGGGTCCCCTCACACCCCGTGGGGCCGGGGTGTCACCAGAGCGGCCTTAGCGTTGGTGGCGGGACCAGGGCTGTGACAGGTCCCCTCACCCGCCGCGGAACGGATCGGGGGTGTCACCCGGGGGTGCCCTCACATCCCGGGGGATCGACCCCCACTCCAAGCGGGGGTGTCACCGGTGAGGGAGGGAGCGGCGGGCGAGGGGCCGGGGGTGCCACCCGTGAGGGAGGCAGCGGCGGGCGAGGGGCCGGGGGTGTCACCGGTGAGGGAGGGAGCGGCGGCGAGGGGCCGGGGGTGTCACCCGGGGGTCCCACCGGGGCTCGGGGGTCCCCTCAGCGGCGGGGGAGGCGCGGCGGCCCCGGTGCATCACGGGGGTTTGGCGGGGGGGGGTCGCTGATCCCCCGCCCCTCCCTCTCCCCCCGCCGCCCCCGGCCCGCGCCGGCCCAGGCCGGTTCCAGCCGGTGCCCGCGCGTCCCCCCGCGCGCCCCCGCGCGCGCCGCACGCTGACGTCAGGCGCGTGTTGGCGCGCGGGCGGGCGGCGGCGGGGAAGCTCCCGGCTCTACGTACGTGTAGTGCTGCGGCTTCTCGGGCTGCGCCTGCAGCGCGCTGGCGGCGCTCGCCGGCCCGGCCGCGGCAGGGCCGCCCGCCACCGGGCCCTTGGACATGCCTCCCGCCTTCCGCCGCCGCCGCCGCCGAGGAGACCTTTATTATTCACTCTGCGCGGTCCGCACGGAGGGCGCCGCGCGCAGGCGCCGCCGCCGCCATTGCCGCCCCGGTGGCGCGCGGGGCGGGGTGGGACTTGTAGTCCCGCCGCGCGCGCGCCGCCCGCCGGCCCGGGACGCGGCGGGCGGTGGCTTCCGGCCGGCGGGACTACAACTCCCAGAGGCGCCTCGCGGCGACGCCGCTTCCTCGCTTCCTGTCGCGCGGGGTGCGGCGGGAGGTGTAGTGCGTGGAGCGGTGGGGGCGGCGCGCCGGGGCGCCCCCGGGTGGTGGGGCGGGATGGGGGCCGGGGGCGCTCCGAGCGCAGGGACGGCACCGAGCCCTGGGGGGACACGGAGACCGTGGGGGACACCGAACCCTGGGGGGACACCAAGCCCCTGAGGGACACCGAGCCCCTGACGGAACACCGAGCCCCTGAGGGACACCGAGGCCTGGGGGGACACCGAGCCCTGACGGGACACCGAACCCCTGAGAGCAACACCGAGTTCTGAGGGACACCGAGCTCTGGGGTGTCCCATCTGGGGGGACACCGAGCCCCTGAGGGCGACACCGAGTTCTGAGGGACACCGAGCCCTGGGGGGACACCGAGCCCTGACGGGACACCGAGCCCCTGAGGGACACCGAACCCCTGAGGGCAACACCGAGTTCTGAGGGACACCGAGCCCAGGGGACACCGATCCCCTGAGGGGGACACCGAGCCCCTGAGGGCAACACCGAGGCCCTGAGGGGGCACCGAGCCCAGGGGACACCGAGCCCCTGAGGGTAACACCGAGTTCTGAGGGACACAGAGCTCTGGGGGGACACAGAGCCCCTGAGGGACACCGAGCCCCTGAGAGACACCGAGCCCTGAGGGACACCGAGCCTCTGAGGGCAACACCGAGTTCTGAGGGACACCAAGCCCCTGAGGGACACCGAGCCCTGAGGGACACCGAGCCCTGAGGGACACCGAGCCCAGGGGACACCGGCCCCGAAGGCGGCCCAGCCCCTCCAGGCCGGCCGGGACGGGAGCAGGGGAGGCCGGTCCGGGGGAGCTGCTGAGGGGCCGGGAGTTATTTGTGTCAGGCGGCCTCACTTCCTTCCTCCCCCTCTTCCTCTGCCTCAGGGGCCGCGCGTGGACGCGGGAGCGCGGCCAGAGGGTTATTTTAGTGCTGGCATCGCTCATCGCTCCACGGCCCTCCCCACCCACGGACAGCGCTGTGCAGGAAGTGCCCGGGAACAGCACTGCGGCCCGAGGAGGAGGAGGAGGAGGAGGAGGGGGAGGAAGGCCCAGCGAGCGCATGAAGAACCTACCTCGGAGCAGGTAACACCAATGACACCTGGCTGCTGGGACATCCCGTCCTCCCCTGGGAGAAACCCACCCCCTCCCAAAAGCAGCCGTGTCCAAGGAATCGGCCGAATTCCCATGTGGAGCGCTTCCTCTGCCAATGAACTTCTCTCCCAGGGGAGGAAATGATAGGAGTTTCTTTTAATAGGACTTTGATCTCTTAGGCTCTGCACAGAACCGCTCCTGGCGCTGGGATCTCCAGTGGTGTGGGAAAGGGCACACAGCATTTGTCAGGCAAACACCTTTTTTACCTCTGCCAGCCCACACTGGGTGAGCAACATTAATAATAAACTTCAGGCCTGGTCTCTGCAGCTGGTTTGGGGAGGCAAATAACTTTTTAAATTCCTATTTATACTGATTTAGTCTCTACTGCAGGCAGGCTTGTCCTGAGGTGATTTAGTAGCTTATTCCCAGGCATTTGCAGGAATAAGTCACAGGATATCAATACCTTCTTATTCATCCAACCACCCTCCATGGAAAGCTGGAATGATGCAGTTCCTGGTCAAGCAGGGCTTTTCCTCAGTCAGTGCTTGAGCAGGTGTTTCAGTATCTCCACACACACCTGTACACCCAACCAGAGCCACTGTCAGCCATCAACCTGCTGGAAAAGCCACTCAATTACAGAGGAATCACGCTGAAACACCACCCACCTGCACTTTGTCTGAAGGGATTTGGATGCCACAGGCTCCAGTCCCTCACGGCTGGTGTTCACACCCTGGTGCTGACACTGTTTTCCAGTTGTTTCACACCTCGCAGTCACCCTGCCAAACGATGGGGAACACCAGGGACGCTCCCGCTGAGGTGTCCAGGGTGTTTTATTCCCATCTTTGCCTTCCTCAGCTTCTGTGTGTACATCTGTCCCTCGCCCTGTTCCACCCCAGGGGACACCTGGCTGTTCTCCAGGGTTTTCTAGAGCAAAAAAAATTCTTAAGTGTCTCCAAAATGAGAAGTAGCCATTGCTATGAAAAGTGGAGAGGGTTATAATTAAGGAGACTCTGAACTCCTGGTAACAAAGTTTCACCCGGCCTCCTGGCACTAGTGTCAGTGCAGTGAGCTCTCAAAAGTAACAAAATAAATGTATTAAACACTGTTACCACCAGAAATTTTGTTTTCCCTACGCATGAATAACTCAGATTAAAGGGGCATTCTTCCCTTTCCACCTTCCAAAACAACGCAGTGTGTGTTTACCTACACCTCCCAGGCCATTACGTGGATACACAGCTTTTTGCTTCTGATAAATAATTATCATTTTCCTTTAGAAGAGAGGAAATGAACATGAAAATGAGGACCAGAGGCAGGGGAGATGATGTCCCTCGGGCAGCAACAGCCTGGGCACATGTGACGGCCCTGTCACACCACAGACCGGACGGAGGAGCAGGACACGCTCCCAACACATTCCCAACGTGCCAAGCTCCATCCTGGTTCTTCCAATCAGGCCAGTGCTGAGCCCAGGGGCCGAGGATGCAGAGCCTCATCCAGGGAATGGGTGATCCCAGCCGTGCCCTGCTTTGGGAACCTCAGGGACGCCTTTAGGAGCATCTGTTTGTGTTCCCTGCATATCCAAAGTGCTACAACTCCAGGGCATTTGGGACCTGTTCTTCTTGATCCTGGGAGCCTTCCCATGGGGGCAGGGACCTGCCTCCACAGTCAGTGCAAATTCAGTAAAATAGCGATATAAATCAAGGTATAACTTAAGGCAGCAGTTTTCCCCAAAAGACAAGTTTTTTACTTGAATTGTTATTTATCTTAGGAAGATAAATGGTAAGATGGCACCAACAGGGAGCATGGATTCTGGATTTCTACTTGCAATGAAACTTTGTTATCCATTTTGGGGATGAAGGTGACCCACAGATGAGTGTGATTTGGGGAATGGCAGCGTCCAGGGGCTGAGCCCCAGCTGCTGAACGCTCCCTTCCCAGGGCCAAAGGTCAGGCTGTGACCTGGGGCACTCACATCCCAGCCCTACTGCCCACTGCGAGTCCAAGTGCCGTGACAACCCTTCCTCGGCATCTGGAATGATAAACCCGAGCAAGAAGTGCCGGAGGCGCTGCCAGACCCCCTCCCCTCGCGGGGGCCTCCGCTCACCCCCACGGCCGCCCCCGAGCGCGGGTGTCGAGCGGCCGCACACCGGCGGCTCCCGGGGGAGAGGGGGCGGAGGCGGGGGGGACCCCGCGGCCCGGCCCTCGCCGCTCGCAGCCCCCGCCGGGCGCCTCTGCCCCGCCGGCCGGTGCCGGCGCTGTGCGGCGGGGGCGGCCGGGGCCGGCCCGGGGTGCCCGGGGGATCCCGCGGCGCCGCCGCCGCTCGCCCCGCTCCTATTGACTTCCCATTGTGGAGCTTCGCAACAAAGGGTAGGATCCAAACCCTGCCCCGTTTCGTCCAATCAGCGCGCACAGCGCCCGCCCGCCACCGATTGGATCCTTCTCCTCCCTCAACACCCAATCGGACGCCTACTTTAACAACCAATCAGCGCCCAGCCGCGCACCCAATCAGAGCCGGGGAACCGGAGCACGGCCTTTGTGTGTGGTGACGCGACGGCGCCGGCGGTGGTCCCGGCCAATAGCGCGGCGCGTTGCTTACAGGCATTGTGACGTCACCGCGCCGCGCGCGCGCCCCCACTATAAAGTGCGTGTCCCCGCGGCGGGGAGGGCGCAGTGTGCGGCGCGGCGGCTGAGGAGCGGCTCGAGTAGCGGCACGGCGTAAAAGCTTCGGCGCGCAGCGCTACCGGCACCGGCGCTTCCTTCTCTTCCTACCGGTAAGTACCGGACAGCGGATGCGTCTCGAAGCGGGCGGTGGTGCTGCTGCGCGGCCGTTCGCGGCCTTGAGTCCGCCGGGAGCGCGGCGGACAGGCCGGGCCTTGCCTACGTGCCCTGAGTCACGGCCGGTTCCCATCCCCCACCGCTGCACCTCCCCCACTCCGGAGCGGCCCGGGAGGAAGGAGGAGGCGGCGTGACTCAGTGCGCTTTCCCCGGGGAGGGGAGCGGTTGGGCCGCGAGGCGGGGGCGGCCGGGTGGCCGTTACTCCTCCTCCCGTCCCGGGGGAGGCCGCTGGCCGCCTGCCCGCGCCGGGGGCGGGCGGCGTTCGGAGCGTTGAGGGGATTGGCCGCTGTGTCGTCAGGCCCACGGGGAGAGCCGGGCCCCGGTGTCACGCGTGTGTGTGTCTCTGTAGGTAAGTGAGGAAAAATGGCCCGTACAAAGCAGACCGCCCGCAAGTCCACCGGGGGGAAGGCGCCGCGCAAGCAGCTGGCCACGAAGGCGGCCCGGAAAAGCGCCCCCTCTACCGGCGGCGTCAAGAAGCCTCACCGCTACAGGTAAGGCCCTCCTCGGCTCGGCCCCGCTGCCGCAGCCTCTGCCCCGCCTCACCGCCGCCTCCTCCCTCTCCCATCCAGGCCGGGAACCGTGGCGCTCCGTGAGATCCGGCGTTACCAGAAATCCACGGAGCTGCTGATCCGCAAGCTGCCCTTCCAGCGGCTGGTCAGGGAAATCGCCCAAGATTTCAAAACAGACTTGAGGTTCCAGAGCGCGGCCATCGGGGCTCTGCAGGTACTGCTGAGGGGCCGGCTGGGCTGCGCTGCTGGGGGAGCTGCGCTGAGGGTTTTTAACAACGTTTCTTGTGCTCTTGAAACAGGAGGCCAGCGAGGCATATCTGGTGGGTCTGTTTGAAGACACAAACCTGTGTGCCATCCATGCCAAGAGAGTCACCATCATGCCCAAAGATATCCAGTTGGCTCGCAGGATACGGGGAGAGAGGGCTTAAGTGAAGGCTGTTTTTATGGTGTTTTGTAGTTAATTCTGTAAAATACTTTGGTTTTAATTTGTGACTTTTTTTGTAAGAAATTGTTTATAATATGTTGCATTTGTACTTAAGTCATTCCATCTTTCACTCAGGATGAATGCTAAAAGTGACTGTTCACATAAACCTCAGTGATGTTGAGCCTCAGGCTCAGGAGTGACAAGTTGCTAATATGCAGAAGGGATGGGTGTTCTTTCTTGCTTCTCATGCATGTTTCTGTATGTTAATGACTTGTTGGGTAGATAAACTTGTAAGGTACTAGAATTGATATAAATGTGTACAGGGTCCTTTTGCAATAAAACTGGTTATGACTTGATCCAAGTGTTTAACAATTGGGGCTGTTAGTCTGACCATGCATCACTGTGATCAAATGTGGACTTCCTTCAGAGGGTGAAACTACAAGTCTTAACCACAGTGTAACTTACAGTTTCCTAAAAACGTAAACCTGGCAGCTATAGAATACACTATGTGCATTTATAATAGCTATTTTATATATTGTAGTGTCAACATTTTTAAATTAAATGTTTTACATTCACATGTGAGGAGTCTTTGTCATTTGGTTTGAATGGGCTTGAAGAAGCTTCTGCCTCCTACAGCTTGCTGTAATCCTGGGCTGCTGCTGTCTCATCTTAACCTCTGCTGGCAAAAGAATGGAGAACTGTTGGAGTGTTTTGAGTCTTTGCTGTTGCCCTACATCTGTGTAGGGTGCAGGATGAGTGGCTGAGGCTGCAGTGGGTTTTGGGGGGACTTTTCTCTAATCAGGGCACCAGCTTAGTTCTAAGTTCTTTCTTCCTTTCCAGCGCATGGCAGGGAAAGTTTATTTTGGAATTGTGACTGACCTGGCTGTTCCCAAGCAGGGGGAGAGCGTTGCCGTGGGTTTGGGCTGGGTGCTCCGTGGGATTCTCGTTTCCCATCCAGACTTTTGTGGATGGAGTCTGGATTCAAAGCTTTGCTTTGGGCTGGGTGTGGCAGGTCTGGGTTACTCAGCTGCCCGTCCCTGCTGGGCTGTGGTGGAGGAAAGTGCTCAGACTGCACCTGAACCAGGTAATTAACACCGGCGGTAATTAACAGCAGTGTGGAGGGGAAGGCTGCTGAGCCCTGCCAGAACAGGCTCTGCGGGTGAGGCTGGAGCTGTCACGGGAAGCAGCACAGGGAAGTGGTTGAGCCAGCCCAGCTTGGTTTATTCCAGTGGAAGTGCTGAGGTGGTGTGGGTTGGAAGAGTAGCAGCAGTTCTGAGCAGACTTGAGTGAATTGGTGCTGGTGAGGAAGAGCATGAGATCCATCCCAGTTGGCTCTGGGAGGCAGGGCCTGCATCCCTCAGCTGCTGCTGGGACAGTGGAGCCTCATCGTGTGCTTCTCCCTCAGACAAACCACTCCGTGAGCTCAAATCCTGCAGCTGGAGGAACAGGCACTCCTCACCCACCTTCTTCCACAGCCTCCTCCTCTTCCTCGCCTCCCTGTCCTACACTGCCCCAAGAGCACTTGGAGCAAACCCTGGCTCACAGCAGCATCCTGCCAAAATCCTGTTCTGAAATGATAGGATTTTAAACAAGTAACTTCCTATTCTCCTTGCAAAGCTGTAGGGGAAAAGATTCCTTCAATTAATTAAGTTCACAACTCAGACACCAAGTTAAGCACCAGCTCAAACTTTAGGTGAGGCTCGGTGATCTCAGGTCAATACCCTGGGCAGTTCTCTCCAGGGACCCTGCCTCCCAGGAATGTCCCCATGGGAAACCTGAGGAAGAACCACACAGCCTGCATTTAAACCAATTGAAAATGAAACATTCCAAGTCATAGGATTTGTTTGTGAATGCTTGGTTTGGTGCTACATTAGCAGCCTCAGCTCCTGCAAGAAAAGTATGTTTAAAATAACATCCCTTGAAAATGGTATTTCCTCCAAGTCCTTGCTGGAAACAATGAAGCATCTGGGTATGCCTAGAAGCTGTTTCTTAAAATAAAATCATTGTCTAGTGGTCCTTAAAAAAAAAAACCCACACCAGAAAAATATCAAAATATCTCTTCATCTTAGTAACTCATCAAAAGGAATTAAGTCAGATCCTGCATGTGGTGGACCGGAACAGAATTCCTGGTGTTCCACGGTGTGACTGATGGTAGCTGCAGCCATATAAACCCTTCCCTTACCAATTCTCCCGACGATTTCCTCGCATTCTTGCTCAGAACTGGATGCAAACACCAGGCAGTCAAACGTGCTCCCATCAGGGCTCTCGGGGGAAGAGCTAAAAATGGAAACACGTCCATTATCCAGCAGAGCTCCGAGCCCAGCCCTGCCTCCCCCCGCTCCGGGGCCCTCACGGCTGCTCTGGGCTCCTTTTCCAGACCCAAATCCCTCTGTCCCCGCAGGCAGAGCTCACACCACACAGAAGGCAAAGATCCTGGGGCTCCACGTGGGGATGGCAACACAGGAGCTGTGCAGGGGACAGAAGGAGCCGGTGTTTGGGGCTGTGCTCAGGCCATGTCGGCCCCATTCCTGGTTTATACTGTCCCCAGGACCCCTCCAGCTGGGCCACCAAATTCCCTGACCTTGGTTGTCACTCACCTTGGAAGAAGCCTTCTCCTGCACAAGGACTCCTGCCTCCTTCATATCAAATAAAACCTCCTGCAGGGGTGATGAGGGGGAAGAAGCCCCGATCAGCGCAGCCCTGAGCTCTGTTTTTAATCAGACGCTCACCAGAGATTATCCAAATGCAGAGGTGATGAAGCACAGCCAGCCTCAGCTTTTGCAAGTTTTCTCTCTGCTGCCCTTTTTTCCCACCACCCAGTGCTTCCACACTTCCATCTTTTCACAAACGACCCCCAGAGGCTCAAACAACAGTGACTTGAGCCCTAAAGCACCACCAGAATCAGGCTTAGCCTTCCTAAAGTTTTCCAAGTGCTTTCCTGCATGTGGTTGCATTTTTTCCCTAATGCCCTTTCCTATCCTGGCTGCCCAGATGCTTCTGACCTGAAAAAACCCCACAGGGCTGATGGGGTGGCAAATATTCAGCCAAGCCAAGTGAACCTGGAGCTGGCAGGAAAAAAACCTCCACGGCAGAGATGTTTCCCTGCATTCTCTGACAGAGCCCTTCCCAGGATGTCCCCAGCCCTGCTGCTCACCCGCGCTGCCAAGCTCCTCTCCAGCACGGCAGGGATGGCCCCCTCCAGCACCTCTTAGCCACCATGCTGAAATGGAATGGGAAGGAGGAATTAACCCTTGGACACATGAAAAGACCTCCAGAAGAGATGATTCACCCCATGGCAGGTCTCTGCCCCACAGCCTCACCGTCCCAACGCTGGTCTGGACCAGGAACCGCAGTTTGTAGAGCAGCCTGGGGAGCAAAGGGCTCAGGAGCATGAGAGGAGGGAACCCACACCTCTCTGCAGAGGAAGATGTTCCCAGCTTCCTCCCCACTTCCAGGCCCCACAGCCTCGAGCAGAGATCAGGGATAGTGTGGGCACAGGGTGCCCCAGTGCCAGGACGCTCAGCCCAGCCTGGGGGCAGCCCATGGCACAGACCCACCTGCCCCCTGCAGCTGCCGGGGCTCCCCCTTGCCCCTGTGCTGGGGGCCGTGCTGGAGCTGGAAGTGGGGCTCCTTCTCTTGCAGGGCCTTCAGGTAGGGCAGCAGTGGCTCAAAGACTGTCCCATCGTGCCACCGCCACCGGAGCAGGCGGAAGGTGAGCGGCTCTCCCTTCAGCCTCTGCAGAACAGCCCCAGCCTAGGAGGAGGAAGGAGCAGAGGGGAGCAGGGGCAGAAGAGGGGGACAGCCCAGCCCTCTGTCCCCACTCACCTGCCCGGGGGAGGCGTATCTCAGTGAGCAGCCGTTGATCTCATCGAGGATGTCACCGGCCAGCACCACCTCGTCCACCTCTGCCTGGCTCCCAGGGAGCACCTCGGTGACAAAGACTCGGCCGTCCATGTACCTGGGGGTGCAGCTCAGCCCCAGAGACCCTGCCCCAGAGAACCCAAGGCAGCCCTAATGCTCTCAGTAGGATATTTGTTTCCCTTTTTGGGGCATTTTCAGTGCTGTGATGACCAGATCCCTCTGGAGAGTGGAGAGGAGGATCAAGAGCTCCTACCTGAGCACCATCCCCAGTGCTCGGCACGGGACTGTCTCGTAAGCACTGCACACCTGAAAGAGAGTGGATGGTGACAGTGGCCCTGGCAATGGCCATGGGACATCCAAGGGACTCCATGCCCTAGATAATTTCTGGCACTGATGCCAACCCAGGGCTTTGGAAGCCCAGGGAGAGGCAAGTCCCAGTGTCCCAGGCTGTGCTGGGACCATCAGTGGCTGCTCCTTTCTCTGTCCTCTCTCAGGGTTCGGCTGTGCCCAGACCCTGACGGGACAAAGCTGCTCTAGGGATGGGATGGCAAAGCAACAGCAAAGCCTTGACTCACTGAAGAGCCCTCCTGCTCACCCCACATGTCCCCACACCGGGGGACGCAGCTGCCCCTCCCCAAAGGCAGTGCTGTTTGCAGCAGCACTTACTGTCACATCGCATTAGCCGGGGCCCTGAGACACGGCCAGCTCGGCCAGGGGCACTGGCTGTCACAAATGCCCCAAAGCCAGCGGGATCCCGGGCTCTGCAGCACCACCACGGCTCAGTGCACGCCTTGACCAGTCCCAAAGCTGCCCCGAGCTTTTTGGGGATTCTTTCGGGTTTAAAAGGTGGTGGAGGGATGCTCTTCATCGTCAAAAGACCTGAAGGAGTCCCTGCTGTTCTCAGTAACACACTGATGTTTCACTGAGCAAACCAAGAGCAAAACCAACTGATGCATAATCTGTGTCAGCCCAGGGAAATGGGGATTTTTTTGGCAAGAAATCAGGGAAGGGAGCATGGGAAAACTTCACTTATATCCGCGATTTAGGCCTGGATACTTCTCTAGCTTGGTTTTACTCCCTGGAATGCTGGGATCTGCTCCTGGTGATGGCGCAGGTACCCAGCAGGATCCAACCTCAATAGCAGAGGCAGCTCTGCTCGGCCTGGTGAACCTGAGCCAGTTCACCCCGGGGTGCGTGGCAATCCCTCCCCACCAAACCCTTCCTCATCTCCCTCATTTGACTTTTCAGGGAGGGCCAGGTGGCAGAAGGACGGCTCGGGGAGGGATGGCTCTTACCGGCAGCAGCCAGCTCTTGTCCAAGAAGCTGCAATTCTGCAAACAAAGGAGTGTCAGCGCCATCGGTCCCGGCAAGGAAGGAGCCAGGGCCCCACGTTGGCAGCCCTGTGCTGGTCACCACCCCACTGATTCACCTGCAGGTCCAGGGAGAAATCTATCTCTGTCAGCACCAGCAGCAGCGAGAGGAAGGGCTCTGCAGAGGGATGGGGATGCAGAGACAGTGTCACCGCCGGGTTCCTGGCAGCCACAGCCTCACAGGGGCACGGCAGAGGACAGAATAAAGCCATTTGCAGTGTAGCTAATGAGTCCTGGGAGCAAGGCCTTGAGAGCATCACAGCACCATGCACCCAAGCTGCTGCTGGAGGCTCATCCCAGGCTCCTGCCACTGGCACAGGTGCAGCTTGGTACCCTTTTTCCCCAAAATTCAAAAACTTGCAGCAAATGCTACTGACTGTTTTTACCCTTAGAAGCACAGCAAAGCTGCCCAGGCTCTCCTACACAAGCCTTGCAATTGCACTGCCAGGTCTGCAATCTGCTCACGCACCAGGAGCACAGGTGATTTATAAACCATTGATGTACAGGTTTAACATGGGGTTATTTATCATAATCAAAATATTAAGGACTTCCACCCTGGCCTGGCCCCCCAAGGAGCCTGGCTGTGGATGGATGGAGTGCTGCAGCCTGTCAAGGCAATGTAGCCATTTAAACCCTGTGCCACCCCTCAGCCCAGGCTGATCTGACATGACCTCCCCTCAAAGCTAGGCTGGGTCTGCTTAAGCCAGAATCCTTAGTACAAATGAATAACATGGAAGATACTTCAGAAGAAATTTCCCTACCCTATGCCACTAAAGCCAGCCTTAGATGGATTCAAATCATGTTTAAATATTTACACATTTGGGTTTTTTTTCCATCACTGCAGCCATGTATTTAGATTCCAGTGCTAAGTTTGGATGAGAAAAATCACAGTGGACTCTTCCCCCTCCCCTGCAGCAGTGCAGTGCCATAACACCGGCTGCATCCTGCCTCCAGTGAACCCCCATCTTACCCCAGAGATCTTCAGTGCCGAGGATGGAGCTCCCTGGATCATAAAACTGAAACCCAGTGAAACAGCACAGGTTACAGCACAGGTTACACCTCTGATTGCCAGCCCGCCGCCCGTGGGTAGCAGCTCCCCCCACGAACTCACCTCCAGGAGCCGGGGGCTCTGTGCCAGCTGCCCCACGGCCACCACCAGCACCTTCCCCTGCAGGGCCAAGCAGGGCCCGCCGCCCTCCCGCAGCCGCAGCACCCCTCCTGCGGGACAGAGAGAGAGTGGCGGCACCCGTGGGTGCCCAGCCGGGGAAAGGGGAGCGGGTACCGGGGAGGACAGCTCTGCACGGCCCCGCGGGGAGATCCGACACCCCGGCACAGCCCAACCCTCCCCGGCTGGGCAGGAACTCCTCAGGTAAACCGGGTAAACTTCCTCAAAGCTGAGGTCGGCAGCGCGGCCCCGCCGCCGGTCCGGTCCGACCGGTACTCGGCCAAGCGCTGCCAGAAGCTCGCACAGGTGCCGGGGCCCACCCTCACCTTTAAGGGCGCTGAGCAGCGGCTCCTTCCTGGCCATTGGCTCGTCTTCCCCCAGGGCCAGGTGATCCCAGGGCCAGGTGATCCCAGGGCCAGGTGATCCCGCGACGGCGGCTGGATGGGAACCGAAAACCGGGAACCGGGAACCGGGAACCGGGAACCGGCCCCGCCCCAGGAGCAGCCCCACGGGCGGGGGGAACCCCACACAGGTGTACATACACACACACACAGGTGTGCCTGTACTTAAACGGAAAGCACGGACGCTGGTGTACATAGGTGTAACACAATGACACCTATACCTACTGATCTATACAGATATGTAAATTCCGTCCATTGCAGAGGCGGAACCCGCATATATGAGACCCATGTGCAAAACAAATATTTATCTCTACGTGTATTGGGACAGGCGGGGGCGGTGCGGGACCCACCGGGGGCGGTGCGGGACCCACCGGGGGCGGTGCGGGGCGATCAGGGGCGGTGCGGGGACCATCGTGGGCGGTGCGGGGCGATCGGGGGCGGTGCGGGGCGATCAGGGGCGGTGCGGGGACCATCGTGGGCGGTGCGGGGCGATCGGGGGCGGTGCGGGGCGATCGGGGGCGGTGCGGGACCATCGGGGGCGGTGCGGGGACCATCGGGGGCGGTGCGGGACCATCGGGGGCGGTGCGGGGAGATCGGGGGCGGTGCGGGGCTGATCGGGGGCGGTGCGGGGATGACCGGGGGCGGTGCGGGATCCCTCGGGGGCGGTGCGGGACCATCGGGGCGGTGCGGATGGACCATGGCGGAGCCGCTGGGTCCCGCTCCGGCCCCGCTGTTGGCCGCCGCTCGCCGGGCGCACGAAGCGGCTTTCGGGAAGGCGGCGGTGCTGGCGGCGTGGGCCCCCGGCCGGGTCAACCTCATCGGAGAACACACCGACTACAACGGCGGCTTCGTGCTGCCCATGGTAAGGGCCGTGCTCTGCCACCCTGTCGCCCTTCCGGGTCCTCCTCGGCCACCGCCTTCCCACCCCCGGGCCGGGATGTCCCTCCAGGATAGCCCAGAGGGATCCTCCAGGATTCCCTGCCCAGGAGCCGGAGCTGCTGCAGCCTCCCCTGCAGACCAGCTCCTCGCTCGCCTCGCGGGGATGTGATTATGTGATTCTCTTCCCAGCCACCTCTCCCAGAGGCTGAAGCCTTTTTTCTGCAGCCCCGGCAAACAACTTCCCGTTCCCAGAGAGCGATGTGTTGGTGGTAGAGATGGTTCAGAGCAGCAGGAGCTTCCTGCACCTTCTGAGCCGCTTTGGCTCAGCAGTGAAGTCCCCACTCAGTCCTAAATCAAACCTACAACTAATTACTGTGAGGCCAAGGAGCGTGGGAGCGGGTCAGCTGAATTCCCTGGCAGGCAAGGAAACTTCTCGAAGCCTCTCCCTTTCTTGACATGGTTACCACTCCCCAGAGCCTAAGAAGCAGCACCCAGCACCCAGCTGGCGGGTCAGGCATGACATTTGGTGGGAAGACTGACCCTGTGGGTCAGTAAATAGGCGGGAAATTTAATTCTGTGCCAAGCCACAGTGTGCATTGGGAGCTCTGGGGTGGTAAAGAGAACACTTGGTTGCTCCAGCTGTGGGCTGAAGCAGCCACAGCTGTCACCTGCCACCCCTGGGGATGCTCCAAGGGGTGCTGCAGGGTCTGAGCCCACCTTCCCCACCCCCAGGCCCTGCAGCTGGGGACGGTGCTGGTGGGATCCCCGACACAAGACGGGACCATCTCCATCGTCACCACCTCGGCAGAGGCGGATGAGCCCCGCAGGGTGCAGTTCCTGGCCCCCCGTGCCGGCAGCTCCCTGAGCCCGGGGCTGCCTCGCTGGGCCAACTACGTCAAAGGCGTCATCCAGCACTACCGGGGTAAGGCCCGGGCTGAGGGGTGGGTCAGAACCCCCCTTGCAGGGAATTGGTGCTCAGATCCAGCTTTGGGAGTGTTCCAGGGGCTCTTCTAGTGTCTGTGTAATCCAGGATCAGGCTCCAGCAAACTCATTCTCAACTCCAAAGGTTCCTGTGCTTGGGGGGCTGCAGGGTCGCACTGTTGTGGGTCACCCTGTGTTCTGGAATGTTGCACAGGGGCTCCTTGTGCCATTCCCTGTGAGCTGTGGGGCACACACAGCCCTGCAGGGGCTCACAGCCCCACTGCTCCCTTATTTTCTTCCTGCAGGTGGTCCCGTGCCAGGCTTCAGCGCTGTCATGGCCAGTGACATCCCCCTGGGTGGGGGCCTCTCCAGCTCGGCTGCTCTGGAGGTGGCTACGTACACCTTCCTGCAGCAGCTCTGCCCTGGTAAGGCAGCAGCCCATCCTGGGCCCTGGCATGTTTCCAGGTGGGAGCTGGGATGACGAGGGTGCCCTTAGCTAGATCCCACAGCCCTTGGCAAAATGCTGCTGTGAGCGGGTAACAACTCCCCAGCTGGCACTGCCCTGCCTGTGTGGCTCCTCTGGCTCATCCAGCCTGACCTGCCCAGACCTCTAAAATCCATGGACCACTCCTGGGACTGGCCAGGGGGATGAGAGGAAGTTCCTTTAGGAGCATCCTCTCCCCACCCTAATGGCCCCAGAAATCAAGATACCTGAAACACCAGTGTCAATTATCACATCCAGCTGGAGCTGGGGGCCCAGGCTGGCATAGATGCCATGCAGTGGTGCAGGAGCAAGCACCTGCAGCTGCAAAACCCCATTCCATGGGAAAACCACCCTTTACCTCCATGTTTGCTTCCCCTGCTCCCAGGCAAGGCCAAAGTTGCAGGAGCTGCTAACCTGTGTGTCTCTGCTGTGGCACAGACGATGGGGATTTGGTAGCCAAGGCACTGGCGTGCCAGAAAGCCGAGCACACGTTTGCTGGGATGCCCTGCGGGATCATGGACCAGTTCATATCCGTGATGGGCCGGGAGGGCCACGCGCTGCTCATCGACTGCAGGTCAGGGTCGAGCACTGAGCTCACCGTGCTGTGCCCAGCTCCCTGAGCAGCTGGGGATGAGCTGGCCCTGTGGCCATGAACTAAGGGCAGGAGCACAGGGAGAGGTTAACCCTTGAACCCAGCCCAAAACCTCGTCATGGGGGCAGGACAGCCTGCACTTTAATTCTTCCTGGTCCTGATTCCTCCTCCTGCAACCTTTCTGCTACTTGCCTGGGCTGTCTTTCCCGCAGTCGTTAGGGTTTATTATGGAACTAATGTTTGGAGGGAATGAAATGCTTGAGTGAAATCCCAAACCACCTGGACTTTGCCTCTGTCGTTCGGGATCTGCCTGCCACGTGGCCTCACTCAGGTGTCTGAGAGCCGGGGCGGGCACTGGGCTGAGCTGTCCCTGCAGGTCCCTGGAGACTGTGCTTGTCCCTCTGAGCGATGCCAGCCTGGCCGTGCTCATCACCAACTCCAACGTGCGGCACACGCTGACGGGCAGCGAGTACCCCGCGCGCCGGCGGCAGTGCGAGGAGGCGGCGGCGGCTCTGGGCAAGGCCAGCCTCAGGGATGCCACCCTGGCCGAGCTGGAAGGTGGGCACAGCCCCCTCTCCCATCTCTGGTCATTCCTTGGGGCATCAAGAGCTCGGTGCCCCATGGGCTGAGACTGGGGCAGGCGGGTGGGTGCACACCCCGTGGTGGGAGTGTGCTGCATCCTTGGCACAGGATGGTTGCAGGATGCAGCCCTGCAGCACCCTGCAGGCTGTGAGGCTTTGCTGCAGGGGCACAAACGTCTCTGCAGAGGCCAGGAGCCGGCTGGGGGATGAGGTGTTCCGGCGGGCCAGGCACGTCATCGGTGAGATAGCGCGGACAGCACAGGCAGCACAGGCACTGCAGCACAGGGACTACAGAACGTTCGGGAGGCTGATGGTGGAGAGCCACAACTCCCTCAGGTGAGGATGCCCGAGGGTGCTGACAGCCCTTCTAGGCAGAGCTGGGCTGGGTGTGCAGCACCCAGCAGCGCTGCCACAGCGGTGGCTGCACCAGGACACGAGCTGGAGCTGTCAGTGGTGCAGTGGTTGTGCCCAGGGTGCAGGACAGGGCAGAGCACGGTTCTCCTCTCTCCAGGGATGACTATGAAGTGAGCTGCCCGGAGCTGGACGAGCTGGTGGCAGCAGCTCTGGAAGTCGATGGGGTTTATGGCAGCAGGATGACTGGGGGAGGCTTCGGAGGCTGCACGGTGACACTGCTGGAAGCTGGGGCTGCAGACAGAGCCCAGCAGCACATCCAGGTAGGTGGCAGGAAAGCCCCAGGAGACTCTGAAAGATCCCAAGGGAACACTCGGAGCAAGCACAGGGACACTGTTGAACTGTTGCTCCTGGGCCATTTGGGGTTGGTGGAGCCCATGCATGGCTGTGCAGGGGTGGCTCTGAGTCTGTTGGATGCCACTGAGCTCCTGTAGGCAGTTCAGTACTGTGCCAGTCACAGAGCCCTGCATTGCATTGAGAAAGGGAGTGAAAAGGTGCTGGGCGAGCTTCAGGAAGGCCAAATCCACCCACAGAAAAGTGATGTGAGCTGAACTTGGGTACTCCTGAGCTGAACACTGGCAGTTATAGCCCGGGAAAGATCTCAGTGCCATCACCAGTGTTCCCTAACTCAGCACCTTGGTGTGCACAGGTAGCTGGAAATGCCAGCAGAATGGAGGTGTCAGGACATGGGGCCTGTGAACAAGGCAGAGCATCATTTTGCCGCTCTATGAGATCATGGTGCACCCTATAAATGGTTGGGGAAGGGGGAAGAAGGGGCAGAGGAGGGTCTGAAATGAGGAGAGACCTTTGGCCTCTGCCAGAGGTGGGAGAGAGGAAACACGACCAAGAGTTACAGTGAAGAGTGGAGGTAAAGCGAGTGTGGAACTGCCCAGCAGGGCCTTTCCCCCTGGCTCTGGCATTCCCCAGCCCCAGAAGCCCAGCCTCGACTGCTCCTCTTGTTTTTCAGGAGAAATACAGTGGCACAGCCACCTTCTACCTCACCAAGCCCTCGGGAGGGGCAAAGGCTCTGCCCCTGTAGAGGAGTGACCACCTTCCCCTGGGAACCTTGGGCTGGCATTGCCTCCCTCCCCAAGGCTTTCCCAAGGGGATCAGCTCGTCCAGCTGCATCATTTGCCTAATAAAAGCAAAATATTTGCACAGTTGTTCTGTGCCTGTGTGGGCCAAAATCACTTGGGACTGTTCCTCAGAGGACACTGGTTTAACTCCAGTTTGCACTGGTGTAAGGAGCCATTATCAGAGCTGCAGTCACAGGAGGGGATGGCAGTGCAGGAGCAGCAGGCACTGACATGTGGCAGAAGTTCCTGCTTGGGAATCTGTCTCTGGGCCCTGCTCTGCATCTGCTGCAGATGGAGGATAGCAGGGGTGGGGGAGGGATTTTTTATTTTACCAAAAAAACAACAACAACAACAAAAAACCCAACCAACCAAACAAAACCCAACAATAAAGAGGCAGAATATAGAGAAAATATTTATTAAGTGCAAGAGGAAGCCATCTGATCAAAGACCTGCTCTGTATCCATCTTGGAAAGGCTGAAACAGCACCAGCTCCAACAACCAGATGAAATTTAAAAAGACAGGCCTGGGTTAGTGCATGTGCGTGGGGAAAGCCTGATTCCCTGGAGAGCAGCCAGCCATGCTCTGCTCTTGGAGAACAGGATCATCTTTGGTTAAAATGCTTGGGAAACTCCCTGTTTAGGCAGTTCTCAGTGTTGGACCCTGGACCACAAAGCCCAGGGAAAGGGTCACAGAGTCCTTGAGCAGGAGGAGAGAAAATCCCAACCCCAGGCAAGATGGGAGCAGGGAAGGAGGCAGCCTCGTGCCACTGGCACTTGCTCAGGAGAAAGAAGTGCTTCTTGAAAGCACAGTAAAACCTCAGGGTTGGTGAAGGATCCTTTGAGCCAAGTTCAAAACTGACCCAGCTCCATCTGCAGTCGTGGAGAGTCCTGTGGACTTGATCCACCCACATCCATCTTTGGCTGAAAGGTGTACAGCCCTTCCCCCAGTGAAACAAAAAGCCTGAAGAGGAGAGGGAACTGTTGGTGGTGAGCTCTTTGTTTCAGAGTCCATAAGGAAAAAGAAATTAAAAAAGCAATAAAGAAAACCACAAAAAGAAAGCCAAGGTTCACTGTGAGCTCGAAGCAGGCCGGTGATGCTGTCAGGGCCCTGGCAGCTGCTGCTTTGGTTGGAAGCTCTAACCCAGAGCATGGCAGCTGCTGCTCCAGGCAGGCTCCTCGCCTGCTCCCATGCAGCTGCAACACACCAGGGAAACCTTGCAGGGAGTCTGCTTGTTTTCCCTGGCAGAGGGAGGGCTGGGAGCCTCCAGGGATCCTGCCCAGCACTGGGACATGAAACCCAGCAGGGTTTCAGCTCAGCCCAGCCCTGTGTGAGGAAAGCTGAAGCTGGGGCTGAAGGAATCTCAGACTCATTCAGGATGGTGGGAGTGCCTGTTGTTCCCAGGCCTGCTCTTCTTTTGTGTTTACTGATGGAGCACAAGTCCCTTTATGGATGTTGCTGCTGGGCAAAAAGTCTTTTAAAAGATACCCAACATCCTCTGTCCCAAAATCTCACTCCACATCAGCTGTGTGAGGAATCTCAGTGCAGTTCCCATCCCTCACCTCCAGGAAGCTCCCAGCCCTTCTGTGTCCAAGTGCTCCAGCTGGGAGATGTTCTGCAGTGAGTGGATCTGGAACCTCTGGTGCTGAAGGATACAAGGTCCAAGGCAGAGCCCACCAGCTTCATCACAGGGTTCAAGTGGCCTTTGGATCAAGCCCTTAACTCATTTCTTCCACTTACTCATTTTTCCCAGCAGCCACAATCCTAGTGTAACCTCCACATTCAGCATAGATCTCATCCTCATCCACCTCCATTTTTTTATAAAATAATAAAATACATTTATATATATTTATATATATACTATGAAAACTGTACAATGTTGTATGCCAAAAAAAAAAAAAAAGCATCAGAGGCCATCAAATAACGCAACACAAATGAAAGGTTATTCTTTGCTATCGTGGTACCAAATGTCAGCAGCAAAGGACAGACACAAATAGGTGCAATAAGGAAGCACAAGTTACCCCAAAACCCTACCTTGCAGCTCTCACAAAACCCCCATACTGAACAAAACAACTCCAGTGAACAGGGGAGTTGCCAGAGAGCCTGGAGCAAAAATGGAAATGGTGACCCTCTATAAATCATGGTTTTGACATCTGAGATCCTCTCAAAACCGTGGACCTGGCAATAAAATCATTCCAATTCCATTTACCTGGGGAGGCTGAAGCCACGGAGACACCCCAATTTCTGCCCTGAAGGATGAGCTCACACACCCAGCTGTGCCAGAGCTCTGAGTGTGCTGGGCTCCAAAGGACAAACCCAGAGGCTGGAGTGCCCCAGAGGCTCTGTGCAGGAGGAGCTGCCCAGGCACCACCTGGATGAAGCACCCTTGGGTCGTTCCATGAAATCCTGGCACCTGATCCCAAAAGTCCTGCTGGTGCTCGGCCTGCCCCGGCTCAGGCCTCGTAGAACTGCCTCTCCACCTGCTGGGTGAGGGTCCCGCTGGCCATCACCGTGTGGCTCACAAACTCCTGCGTGAGGGTGCTGCTGGAGTTCTCCACGCGCTGGGTGGTCACCAGCATCCCGTCTGCAAGGGGAAGGCACCACGTGTGGGGTCACAGGGAACGGGCTCTGCGCTGCCCCACCACCCCAGGCAGTTTGTTTTCCATCATAGGAAGTGGTATTTAGGGACCTCTCCACACCAGTGATGCAGTGCTTCGCTCTGTCAGCCAAGGGGATGGATCTCCTATCAGCTCCCAAGCTCTCTGTGTTGCAGCATGAACCCATGAGCACAGTACAACTACATTGATGTGAATAAAGATGTTTGTCCCACCGCTCTGTTTTTGTCTGCTCTGAAGAGACTGAACCTTGCAGGAAGAGCTGTGATTTGGTCCCTAGTGATAGTGCTGGAGGACTCTCAAATACAGCATTCCCTCCAGGACTGGCCAGCACGTGTGGAGATGACTGCAACCCTCCCTGGGGTAAAGCAGGGACACAATGTAGGAAAAGAGCTGACCCTCTTCAATCCCACCTGATGGACCCTCTTCCCCTGCCTTTGGCACTTGAGGTAAAAGCAGCCTCAGGCATTGGACAAGCAGAATTATCCTTTGTTTTCTGAGGTTGCAAAGCGACAATGAGCCCCTACCTGTGAAGTGGGGATCCAGAGAGGAATGGCTGATGCTGGTTTTGGTGGTGTATTCAGCGGGGAATTTGTAAACTTCTCTCATGTACTGCTGTCCTCCAAATTGGGAGAAAGCACCTGGGGAGAAGGAAAAGGGACAAAGTCAGTCAAGAAATAACAAATAGTTTCCAACTCCTCAACCCCGCACAGTGAGCACCAGCAAACTCAGGGATCTTCCCTTGCTGATATCAGAGCCAGGTTCAGGAGGAACTGGGAGGACTGGGAAGGTCTCACACCTGAGCAGTAAGAAGCTGTCTCCAGGTATTTGTACAAACAGGCAGAAGTTTCACCACAAGCTGAACATTGGCAGATATTTCCTCATTTAATGCACCAGGACTGAGACAGTGCTCACCAGGCACAGCACTGCCCTCATGGAAAACTGTCTCCATGTCTTTCATGGAGCATGGAGTCACCACCAGAGCTGGAAAGTGACTGCAGGAGTTGTGTTCCCTGCTCTAAGAGCTTTCTCTTTGCCCCTCCACAAAGACAAGGGTCCTGTACCTCTGTCCTGAGATTCAATGGTGATGAGGCCTTCTCTCTCCGGCCCGAAGCCTTGGGTGGTGTTGGCTTGCACTTTGAACTTGTATGGGACATTCTCACTCAGGTGGGGCACGGTCAGGGTGGTTTCCAGGTTGTCTCCTTCGACATAGATGGTCCTGGGCTCCCCTAATCCAGAGACGCAGGGTGGTGAAGACAGCCCAGAGTGATGGTCCCTGCAAACACCCTCCCTCTCAACTCTGCTGCCTCGGCTGTCCCTGAGCTTTACAACCCACAGGCTGTAGGACTGCACCCACTTCTACTAAGGGTTAAAACAACCCCATTTCACTGCAGTGGGGAACCTCAACAACCAACCTCCATGGGGTTTTGGCTGAGGTCCTTCCTCTTCCCACCACATTTGTTAGACCAGACCACGCAATGGCACAAAGTGTCAGGAGCCACCAGCTCCCAAGCCTGGGAGGAATCAGCCTCATGTCCCCACTTTGTCTGCACTGATGTAAGCAAAAACACTCTTTTACTAGTCCCAGCCAAAATAAAACAGATTGCTGCCGTAGCTGGAGGTATCTGGTGCTCCTGTGCTGCCTCAGCCTGATACTGTACCTCCTCCATGCAGCCTCTCACAGGTGATCCTGTAGCCCAGGATGGGCCCATTGGGCTCGCGGGGTCTCTCCCAGCTGAGGTGCAGAGAATCTGGGCTGAGGGCAGTGAAAACCAGTGGTCCAGGGGCACAGGGGGTGCTCAGGGTGAAAGGGGTGCCTGCAAGGGCACAGGGGACACGTCAGAATCACAGCAAACAGAGCCTGGGAGGGATCTGCACGAGCTGGGAGGGCTCAGCTTCCTGGACAATGAATGTGATGTGAATGTGTGGGGAAGAAGGTCCTGTTCCAAAATGAGAGGAAGGAAAGGAGAGGTGAGGATGTGGTAAGGGGAGAGAAAACAGCCAGGCCAGCACTGTGGACAGCAGCACAGATATCAGTGGCACCCTTCAGTCCCCAGCACCTCACCTGGCACGGGACTGAGCGGGCTCTGCGGGTCCACCTGGGACTCGATGGTGATGACTCCCTCCCTCTCAGGGCCCCAGCCCTCCTCGCTCTGCGCCTTCACCTTGAAGATGTAGGAGTGGTTGGGCAGCAGGTCCTCCACCACCACTGAGTTCTGGCTGGGGTTGGGGATGGTGATCCTGTGCACCTCTCCTGGGACACGGGGGGAAGAGGATGTCAACACCACGTTGCAGGCACAAAGACAGAGCCACAACTTTCACCTAAACTGTGTTTCAAATAAACTGGCTGCAAAAGTCATCCAGGGATCCTCCCCAACCTTGCAACCAACAATGGGTAGTGCAGGATGAGATGTCTTTTTAAAAAAAAGGCTTGGGACAAACAACAGCTTCTTGAAAACTCATGGAGTTTCAGTCAAAATAATTATATTTTCACTAATACTGCCCTAAGATTCATGTAAAAATAAGATATTTTCATTTCAATCCTTCTTTCAAGTCCCATGTATTGAAAAAAAAAAAAAAAACATAAGATATTTGGGCTGATGGAGAGAATCAGTTAAAAGGAGTTATTTTTTTGGAGGAGAGATGATTCTACAAGAAACTCCAGGAATTGCTTTTCTTCTAGGAGAAACAGGGAATGAAAGCTGTGAGGTAGCTGCAACGATTAAAAAAAAAAAAAAAAAAAAAAAAAAAAAAGAGGCTACACAAGAAGCAGATTTAGAACCCTGAATCCCAGAATGGCTGTGTCTGGAAAACACCTCTGGAGATCACCTGGTCCAATCCCCCTGGCTCAGAGCAGGGTCATCCAGAGCCAGAAGACCCAGAGCAGACCCTCCACCACCCGAAACTCCCACCAAGCCCCCAGTGCCTGCTCACTGACCTCCGTTGAGGAGCTGGTACTGCACGCTGTAGCCCTGCACCTCCTTCTCGCAGCGTGGCTCCTGCCAGCTCACCTTCAGGGACGTGGGGCCCAGGGCAGAGAACACCAGGCGGGTGGGGGTGTCAGGGATGCCCAGTGGCTTCCTGGAGTCTGAGGCAGAACGGGAACATCAGGCTGGAGATTTTGGGGATGGGGGTTAAGGGGGCTGGGGGAGAGAAGGAGGTGACACAGGCAAACATGGGATGGTCCTGATGGTTTGGGGAGGACGTGGTGAGATGTCACCTCTGCAAGCTGACCTGCCATAAGGAGGACTGGATGGATCTGCACAGCCACAGGGATGTCCCACAGCCTCAGGGTGGGACAAGTTAATGTAAGCTTTGTGCCCCTGTGACAAAGAGGCCAGAGAAGGGGCCTGGTGCTGACCTTCCTCACCCCTAAGCACCCTGTCCAGTCTGCCAGAAGTTTCATAGACTTCATTAGGTGTAGGTCAATTAAACTGCCCTAATCTACAGCTAAAACATCCCTCCAGCCCTGTTCATGTGGCCTGGGACACATCTGGCAGCTCCTCAGCTCATCCCACTGGGACACAAGGCTCACAGAGAGCACAGCAGCCTCCCAGGTGACACTCAGGGACTGAAGCCCCTCACTGACAAGGAGCTTGCAGAGGGACATCTCATAAGGAGCACATGTTCTGCCCAAGAGCTCTCCAAAGGCCTGTGGAGTCAGACTGGGAACAAGAAGCTCGTTAGGAATGAAGAGAATGGGAACAATGGTTCATCAGAGCACAGTGGCAGCAGTGGTGGTGAATGTTAATCAGTCCAGGTGGGCTGAAACCTGCGATTCACCTGCAAATGGAAAGGTGATGTGGTGGAGGTGCAGGCTGGGTCAGAAGGAAGATCAGCACAGCACACAGCAAGCCATGGAGAGGAGGTCTGGTGTGAGCAATGGATGGCAGCAGCTCATGGATAGGCTGTGGCTGGGCTGTTATGGGATGTGTGGCTGGGAGGAAACACTGGACAAGCTGTACCTATGTACTTGCACATCCCTGTGGACCCATCAGTCATGATTATAGAGTCCCGACAGCCAATGCTGGGGTAGTAACCCTTCACCTTTGCCCTGCTCCTGAAACCCACGTCCCGGGGCCGGAGGAGTGTCCTCCCAGCATCTTCACGGATGGAAGGGAGGAGTGTCCCTGGGTAATCTACAGAAATGGTGCAAGAAGAAAGAGAAAAACACCATTGGAGATTTCAGAGCTGGTTCAGCCCAGGCTCCTGCACGGGTGACTTTCTAAGGCTTAAGTTTGAAGAATCTCTAAACCACCTTCTGTCAGCACCAGCTGATTGACACACGTGGAGCTGAAAGGCAACCACACTGCTGGACAGAGTGAGGAGAAGAGACATGTGCTCTCCCTGGAGTGCTTTGTGGTGTGAGGATAAGGATGGAGCTCCCTTCCCTCAGCACCCTGCCTGGGTGGTACCTGCGAGGGCGGGACCCCTTTCCAAACTGGTCTGGAAGCAGGGAGGCCTTAGCAAAGCACCAAGACACCAGTGGTGGGGATATGACCTTCTAGACCTGCAGGTCATAGGCCACCTTAGCTGTGAGCACACAGGACTTTAGGGCACAGGTCCAAAGACGGTCACGGGGATGGAAGGGAAGGGCAGGTCCCATCCCTGTGGTACTCACCATGCCCCATCAGCATTGTGGAGTAATCTCTTGTCAGCGAGGAGCTGCCCATCACCCTGTGCTCCTGGTGCATGTGGGAGCTCAGCTGGTGGTAACTGGTGTTGGCTGTCCTGGTCAGGGTGCCACTGCCACTGCCAGGGAAGGAGAAGTCCACACGGCCATTCATCAAGTGCTCTGTGGAAGAGGGCACACCGTGAGGAATGTGGCTGTGGACAAAGCTGCTGCTCCACTTTCATGGGGAGGAAGCAGGAGGCACCATGGTACCACCCCTGCCTTGGCTGAATCCCAGGTTCAACCACTCTAGAACGTGATTCTGGAATGTTACATCTAGAACAAGCCACAACACCCAACACGAGATGCAGAAACAAAGAGATAAACAAAGACTTCTCCCTGAACCAGACACACCCATGGTGCCCAAGGTAACTCCAGACCTCGGCCTTGCTGGGACACTGCCCTGTGGTTCTCGCCACATTCTCCACATCTCCCGTTAGACAAAAGCACTGGTTTATCCTTTCGGATTTTAAAAGAAGGTGGAAGAAGGAAAGTGGCCCTTTATGGAGGAGGTTTCTCCAGATCTCATTCTGGATCCCATCTCAGCTGGATCTGAAAAGCAAACTCCGCTCTGTTGTTCTGGTTCTCGAGAAACAAATCCCCATCCCCTCCCAGCAGGCCAGGAGAGATCAGCCACCTACGAGAGAGTGATTTCTGTGTAAGAGTCCAGCAGATCTGCCCCAGAAGCTCAGGGCACTTAATTAAGGTGAAGAGCTGCCTTGGAGGTGGCACTTAGCAGGTATCATCTGAGTTTGCTCCTGCCTTGAAGGTCCAGCCTTTGGTAGAAGCAACTTGCTAGCAGGCTCCCAAGTCCGTGCCGAGATGGGGTTACCTTGACACCCGTGTGAGCAGACACACCAGGACAAGGTTTTGAAGCAGATCACACCAACACGAGGGTGGGCACACAAGGGGAGGCAGAGGGCACAGAGCCCATCCGTCGGCCCCTCGGCTCAAAGCAGGACGAGACAGGACGCTCGGTGCCGTAGTGGAGCCATCCTTCACCTGCTTGGGGCCGGGGCGTCCCGCTCCTCCTCACACTGCCAGGAGCCACAGCGCTGTCCTCCTCCTGGAGGAGCCCCTCGGTGTCCGAGGAGAGGCGGCTGCTGCCAGAGAGGCGGGGAATGGTTTCGGGTGGGAGCCTCCAGGTGATGCGGCGAAGGTCCAGGTCTTCTCCCAGCAACGGCACAAATTTCCACCTGGAGCCTTTTGGGACAACGCAAGCACTGGTGTTGGCACGGTCTGCAGGGGTCAGGTGGGCCACCCACCACCTCCGTGCTGCTCGCTGGGGAGAGGAAGGGACAAGCACCAATGGGGACGATGGCTGCTCACAGCCCATGTTCCAAGGGTGAGCTGAGGAGTTCAGGTGGTGCAACCATCTGGTAGGTGGAGAGTGGTAGGAGCGTGACATGCAAGGGGTTCCTCAACCCCCAGACTGTTTTCCAGCCCTGAGTCCCTCATGACAAACGGTGAGAGTCAAAGTCCCACCACATGCCTGTCCCTGCATGAAGAGTCTGCAACAACTGTCCTCTGCTCAGGAGAGGTTTCATCATTCCTTGATGTGCACTCAGGGTGGTTGGACTCCTGAATATCACCTTGCTCTCTGAAAAGACCAGGGACTCACTCTTGGGTCCCAGGCCCTGGAGAACCCTCCCGAGAAGATCCTACAGACACATCTCATCATCTCACGGCTTATGCCCCAGCACAAGACCAGGGAGTAAGCCTCATTCAGAGGTGAAGGCATGGAGGAAGAGAGGCCAGTGCCTCCCCAGCACTGCTGCATTCCCTCCTGTTGGCTTGGCCTAGACCCTGAGCATCCAGGGGACTCAGAGGTTTGTGCTGTTGCTGGTGCTTGTTTGCTGATGTCTCACAGTCCAGCCAAATGGCAACACCAAGGGGAGATGAGCAGGGAGGGTCTCTCCCACCCCACACTGAGATTTCTTTTTGCCCCATGGCTACGACAAGGCCTTATTTACACTGTGACCAGCCAAGTGCTCCCATGGATGCAGCTACTGAGCTTTGGAAAGGCAGATTTCCACCATCTACACAACTTGGATTTCCTGAGAGATGAAAAGGAGCAGTGAAGCTCATTGCTGAAGCTGCTGTTAAGAAAAAACAATGTTAGAAATGACCTTTTCAAGCTCAGAGACACAAACCTGAATCATCAGAGACACTGGGCCTCTTGCTGCCGGCCGGAGAGCGGAGCACGTCTGTGCTGTACATCAAGTAGCTGTCATAGTCCTCACCTCCCTCTGCATCAATGATGGGGACATCAGGGATGATGGGGACTGCAGGAGAGGTGGAAAGTGCCTTTAGACAAGCAGCAAAAAACCACACAAGCAGCAAAAAACCACACAAGCAGCAAAAAACCACACAATGCTCAGGCTGGCTCTCAGCATTCCCAGGATGGCTGGAGCAGCAGAGCAGACAGGAGGTGTGGAAGCAGCTGGGGTGATGGGGAGCTCTCCCCAGCACTGCTCCTGTCCCTCTGCCCCTGCCCAGGCTGGCACTCACTGGACATGGGGCGCTTGGGCTGCGTGGCGAGGTTGATGGTGGCCTCTCTCTCGGGCCCCCAGCCCGCGCCGTTCCGCGCCTTCACCGTGTAGCGGTAGGGCTGCGACTCGTGCAGGTTCTCGATCAGCACCATGCGCTTCTTGGGGTCTTCAACCAGCACCTTCTTCACAGGCCCAATGGGTACTGCAAGGCATGGGCATGCCTGTCACACACCAGGCACAGAAAACCCCACAACACCCCACACTTTGGTGTCAGGATACAGCCTGGCTCTGGGAAAAAGTGCAGCAGCTCTTCGGGCTGCTCACAACAAGCAGCATAACTCAGGGTAATTCCCAAACCCAATGCTGAAGTCAACCTACATGAGAAGTCTTCTGTTGCTGGTGTATTACAAATAATTCCTTCCTGGCATGCCACCTCTTTATCTAGACCTATGAACTAAGTTTTTGGGATGAAAAACAACATAAAAACACTATGGAAGTGAATGGGAACAGAGATTTTTGGCATTTGCAGGGTTGAATCCTGACTGGTGATTTTTCTGTGCTCTTTCCATCAAGAAATGACCCATCCAAACCCAGTTCTCAAAAGAAGCATGCCTGGAGCTGTTCTGGCTCTGCAGCTGCTGTTTGGGACCGGCCCAGCCTGCAGGAAGTCCCCTCCAGCCCCTCAGCCTAGCTGGACGGTGCCATCCAAAAACGAGCTCTTACTGTTGTCCTCATTGACAAGCCCATAGCCGACCTCGTAGGCTGTGATCACCCCGTTGGTTTCTGCAGGCTCAGCCCAGCTCAGCTGGGTCGTGGTGGAAGACACAAGGTTGAAAGCCAAGCGCCCGGGCTCGCTGGGCACTGGGAAGGCAAAAGCAAAAGGGTCCCCATCACTGCAAGTCAGGAACCAGGGCATGCCCAGAGTTGCCCAGATCACAGCTGGGTTTCAGCAGGAGACACTCAGTGCTTGATCCCGAGACCACCAGAAGCTCAGGGCTGGAGCCCTGACCCCGGTGCTGGGTGCAGAGGTACAAACTTGCTCCCACGTGGAGGGCAGGGAGGTGTGGGGTCACTCACCCTCCTCCAGCGTGCGGCAGTGGATGATGTCCGAGTAAGTCCCTTCTCCCACGGCGTTGTAGGCGCAGACTTGCATCTCATAGTCGCAGAAGGGGTAAAGGTTTGTCAGCTTTGCTGATGGGGTTTTGACATCAATAAGATGGGCTTCGGACTCAGGGTCTCCCTGGATCCAGTATTTCACCTGGCAAAGCAAGTGCAAGCCACAATTCCTTCAGAACACCACATGATGGGTGAGAAATTGCTTGTCTCTTACTAAATCAGCTCTGGGATTGGTGGTGTGCCATTCCTCCGAAATGGGAGGCCAGGACAGTCTGGGCGCTTCATGATAATTGATGGAACTGGAGATGAACCCACCAGGAATCTTTCTTGCATATGCCTCATTCATCAGCAATGGTCCCTTCAAGGATGGAGGGGACCAGAAGGGGTGAACTTGCTCCCTCTTTTGGGTGTGTACTTGGACCCCTTCGGTACAAATGTCTGTGTGAAACACCTGCAGGAGGGGACCCACACTCTTCCCTGGGATCCACTCACCCCTTACCTTGTACCCCAGGGGTTTTCCTGGCGGAGGAAACCAGTTGAAGCTGATTTCCCTGGAGCTGAGAGCCCGGGCATCGGGATTAAGCGGTGCACTCAGGCGGCCTTTGGGGGACTGGGGGACCTGGGCCAGGCCAGTCATTGAGGGGACACCATCCACCAGCTCTGCAGACAAGAAAGTTTATATCAGTGCCAGTCTTCCCCCTTGGATGGAAAAGAAGGAAGTGTGCCTCTCTCAGCACTGCCCTGCCATGCTGTGATAAATACATTATTTATATTAGTGACCCACTTGATAACAGTTTTGCTTGTCCAGTCACAGGAAGCAGGCACCATTCATGGCAAATCCTACCTCTCCCTTATTTTTACGGCTTTTCATTCAATTTCCCAAGGAAAAGGAATTAAGAATCAATTCTATTTCCTTTACCGAGGGAGATGATCCATCTTCTCCCCACCCACTGACTATTCCCACTCGTGCCTCTAGAGGGGACCCAAATCTACCAGTTGGAGCTGGAGGAACCTCGCCGCGGCTTTTTTTGGCGAGGATGGAACTCCGTGCCCACTGCCACCGCCCGGTCCAGCCCCTACCTGGGTCAGCAATGGTCACCGTGGTCTGGGGGTAGCGACCAATCTTGGCGCCGTACTTGGGGTGCAGGAGGTCGATAGCAAATTGCTTGAGCTGGCAGTTGTTGAGGAGGGTGTCTATCTCTGTCAGCTCCAGCAAGGGCACCTGCACCTCCTTTCGGGTCTCCCCAGGCTGGAAGACCAGCTCGCCCTCCGTGAAGATGTAGTCCTGGAGAAGGAAGAGACGAGTTCAGGGTGAAGCTGGGTGGGGCTCTGAGCAACCTGGTGTTGTGGAAGGTGGCTCTGCCCATGGCAGTGGGTTGAAATGAGACGGTCTGTAAGGTCCCTTCCAACCCAAACTGTTCCATGATTCTATGATTACAGCCTGCAGTATCCATGAGGAGACTCCCAAAGAGCTTTCCCTCCTCCCTCAGTCAATCCTCATTTGCCTCCCAGTGCCCACAGCTCCAGGGGCAGGTGGTTTCTCCAGCCTCAGGCACAGACATCCTCTCAGGTCCTCCCTCCCTGAGGGAGCAAGGGATGGAGAAGAAAGTTCAAGGGATGGAGAAGAAAGTTCACCCTTGTGGTGACCTCAAGCCTTGGGTCCCCTCTGCCCCAGCCACATCCTGATAACTCCTGCTCTGCATCCCCAGGGCTGGCCTTTTCCCAGCCCTACATTCCCCCTCCTTCCTGCCTGCCAAGGCCAGGAGTGCCACCCTTACCCTGCCATTCTTGGCCGTGAGATCCCGGGTCCTGTAGGTGACTTGGGATTTCCCGTTGTCTATGATCTCCCTGAGGACAGGGATCTTGGCCAGCTTATCAAAGCGGCTGTGGGAATAGGCTGGCTGCAGGAAGGTGATGAGGCTGCTGGCTGGAAAGGGCAGGAGAGAAGGAATGTGTAAAGCAAATACACAAAAATCACATCCCAAACAGATGTCCTCCCTGAACAGAGTTCCAGTCACCCCTGGGTGTGAACTGCATGAGGTATCATTCGTGGGCTGGAGAATTCCCCACTTCCCATTTGTGCTCCCTGCTCAAAACACCAGGTGGGAAGCTGAGGGAAAGTGCTGGGGACATTAGAACAATAACATCAAAGAGGTTCTGCTGCATGCCAGCACTCAATGAACTGGAGCAGCAGAGGAATGTGGTCAGCCCTCAATCTGTCATGGAACTGGCAGCACCTAAACATCTTTGTGACAGTCAAATGTTTCTGCCAGCAGGGAAGATGACCCTCCTTTGGATGCATTAAAGGATGCTCCAGTTTAGACCCAGGTGACTTCAGAAAGGAGTCACCAAGCAAGTCTCTGCTCTGTGGCCCAGGGGTGCTCAGATATGCAGACTGTGCCTTACAGACCCCATCAGTCTGGACACAGGACACCCAAACACAAAACCTCACAGTCACAGCCCCTCACCTTGTTCTTTGATGATGGTGATGTTGACAACCCTGCGCCCAATCTTTGCGATGCCGTTGGGGACCTCGATGGCCTCCACCTGCAGCTGCTTCTCATCATCATCATCGTCCCTGATGAAGAGCGGGACACGGACATCCACCAGCTCCACGGCCTCTTGGAACTCCACCATTCCCTGAGCATCTGGGGGAAAAGACAAGGGTGAGAGGCGAGAAATAACACCCTGTACCCAGCCAGGAGCCAGTGCCAGGCTCTGCTCCCTACCTTGGTCTGAGGTCACAGTGTAATAACCCGGTGCAACCTTCAGGTCGTTGAAGGCTTCGTGGGAAACATGTTTTTCCACCACTTTGATGATGTCTGGCTTGGCTGAGTAAGGGGCAGTGAGCACCGTGTCCACAATGGTGTGATCCTGCCTGGGAAGGAAGGGCAGGTGAGAGCTGAGACCAGGCTAACTCATCTGGGGGGCCAGTGAGTGTGTGGGGCACTCAGTCACCCCACACGTGTCTGTACAAAGAGGGAGAAGCTGCACCAGAGAGGTGCAAATTTCTCTTACCTTTTCCCAGAATTAGGCTGTAACCTGGGGGAATGAAAAAAAAAAGCCAAACCCAAATTAGAGTGACTAACACCTCTGGAGAGACAAAGTGCTGTGTGAATCACAGCCCTGTGCAGGTCTGAGCTGCAGCACTGCCCTGCGGGTGCCAACCCATCCCACGGAGCCCCAGCACATGTTCCCTCCTGCCCAGCTGCTCTCTCCTGCCCTGGGTTTCCCAATGCAGCAAGGAACATGCCCAGAGGGGAGACCACATCTGGATCAGGCTGTGTGGAGGAGATACCACTCCCTGCTCAGCACTGGCATCCCCAGATTCCTCCCAGCCCACACCAGGCACTCCTAAGCTTGCACCAGGCTGAAACTTTTGAAGCCAGTGGGAATTCTCCATGGAGCACTATGCCACCAGGACTTGCTCCTGCTGCTCCAGAGCCAAGCTCAGCTGAGATCTCCTCCACAGCTGGGTGGGCTCTGCTCTGCAGCCCTGGGTGGGTGAAGCACCACACCAGGCTTATCCCACAAACCACACTTCCTCCCAGCATGGCAGATTTCACACCCCTTCATCAGCAGTGCCCTGGGGGAACCCTGTCCTGCAGGAGTCTCTCCCCCACTGACTCACCTGAACTTGGTCTGCTGGACCTTGTGGCAGCCAGGAATGTGCTTGAAAACCTCGTTCAGCTGCAAGGAGCAGGAGGAACAAGAGAGACAAGAGTCACAGTGTGTCCCTCACTGAGCAGGATGCGCTCAGTGAGCAGATGCTGCTGCCACAAAACCCAGGAGCCCTCTGACCACCCCAGGCCCTCCTCCCTCACCCTCCCACACCAGTTTCATCCCAGTATACAGCAAGAGGCTGCAAATTGAAGCCAAACAGGAGCTTCAGATCACATGCCCCAAAGTAAGCCCAGAATCTCCGTGAGACGCTTTGCCAATTCTTAACAATTGCGACCTTAAAAATTGTGGTTTTTCACAAAAGAAGAAAAACTGCTCCTTCCTTTCCATAGCTGCAGGTTCGCAGGGAAGGGGCACTGCCCAGCCCCCTGTGTGGCTGTCCCCAAGGCCACCCCGAGCCCCCCTTGTGCCCAGACTCCTACGTTCTCCTCCACTTCTTTGCGCAGCTGCTCGAACTCCCGGGTCTCCGTTTTCATCAGGTTCTGCGTGAAAAGCCGGGCCAGCCTCAGGGACAGCCCGTACGGAACTGCAAAGAGAAAAATCCCCAAATCAAACTCCGTCCCTTCCCAGCCAGAGAAACAACCCACCCAGCAGCTGGAATCAGCACGGGGACACTCACTGAGGTCCTTGGTGGCAGCGGGGGAGGTGACGCCCTGCTTGTGGACGTTGTTGTGGATCTTCCAGCGGACCGTGTCGCGGCCCTTGAGGGACCCGCTGCGCACCAGGGGCGTGTCCAGGTGGTCGGAGGACATGAGGCTCTGGCGGAGCATGTAGTGGTCCTCCTTGAAGCCAACAGTGCGACCTGCAGAGCCAGGGTGGGGTCAGAGCCTGGGCACGGCACCAGCCAGCAGCTCCCAGCGCCAGAGGTTCTGCTCTGGGCCATGCTGAGGGTTTCCACCACACTAAGGGCGTTGGGATGTCAGCAGGGGAGTGGGATGGATGAGCAGGGAGAACACGTCTCACCAGCTAAGCATCACAAGGTCAGGGAGAGCCAGCAGTGGGATTCCCAGCAGGGCACCCCAGGTGTTGGTTTTTTTAGCTTTTACAGAGATGGGGTTAATTGAGAGGCATTTGAAATTATTTTATTCTATCAGTCTTGATGAAGGGTGAGACATAAGAGATGTAAAACCCAATGCCATTCTATCAGAAGCTAATTTCTTAGTTATTTCTTAGTTATAATACTTTATGAATGTTTTTCAGCCTTTTAACTTTTACTATAAAATGTTGGTATTACTTCTAACACTAATCACGTATATTTTTATCCCATGTAACCTTGCTACCATGTATCTTTCACAGTTCTAATTTTCTAAAATATTTTGTCTTTTTATAAAGCCATATTTTGAAACTTATTTCTAGTTCAATCTCTCTCTCTCAACAATGTCATCTCTATTCCATAGCCTTCCTAACTCAACACACCTTATCTTAGTATTTGCATACAGATATATTTTGAAAATCTTTTACGAATCCACTTCTCACACCAGGGCGTGGGGCAGGGAAGAAGAGTGGATCACAACTCCTTGGCTCAGGCTCTCTGCTAGAAGCCTTCTGCCTGATCCAGCTCTCCAGCTCAGAGGGGAGGGATGCTCACCCCAGCACACCCCCAAAGCCAGGAAGGCAGTGCACCCCACAGAACCCTTCCCCCCAAGACCACGGGCTGGTACCTCGTGCGCAGCAGGGAAGCAGGGCCAGGCAAGCCTAGAAAACAAACGGCCAGAGACAAAAAATCACTTTGTGGCCAAGGACAAAACCCCTCCAAGTCTCCATCAGGGAGGATCCACATCAGCAGCGATGTGTGGGCAGTGGGTGGAGGGGGCTCTCAAGCTGATTTTAGCTAGATGGAGAACTCTGGCTAAAATTTCACCAGCAGCTCATGTTGGCAACAGCAGAGTTGGATACCCAGGGACATCCCCCTGTGAATCTGGCCATGCTGGAGGCTGGGTGAATTCTGGAAATTTGTCATGTTTTTGGCCAAATCTGGCTCTCTCCCTAGGCTGGGGAAGCCACCTGAGATACTCACCTTGCAGCAGGCACAGAACTTCCAGCAGAGCAGGAGCAGCAGCCCCAGGAGCAGGATGAGGAAGATGAGCAGTGGGATGAGCCAGAGGAAGCTTCCAGGTGGGCACTCTGCAAGTGACAGCAACGTCACTGCCAGGCACCAGCCCCGTGTGGGGTGTGCAGGGAGGGAGGGGAAAGGCTGGACTCAGCTCCCTGAGGGATGGAGCAGCCCAGTTAACCTTGGCACAATGAGAAATGCTGCTCAGGGAGGGATATCACACCTCTGCTCACACCCAGCCATACCAAAGGGCTGCAGCACCTTGCAGCAATCCCTGCCCATGGCAGCAGAGGAAAGGCTCTGATCTCTCAATGTCTCTCTGAGGGTGACATGTTCCACCCCTTGCAGTTCATGGGACAGACAGTGTCACCCACTCGTGTCACACAGCAGGGTGGGCAAGGAGGAGCTGCCTGAGGTGTGCCCAGGGGCACAGCAAAGGGACAAAGCAGGGACTGGGGGAACTGTGGAGCTGGTCACTCTGATCAGATGGACATCCCCTGCTCCTCCAGGGCCCTGCTCACCTTTATTCTTCTGCACACGCACAGTGGTGTTGGGGAGGACACTGGGGTCTCCCTCCAGGGTGTAGTGGTAGGTGCAGTCATCATCCTCATCCTGGAAGGAGCAGTACTCACCAGCCTCCTCTGTGGGGAGAGGGGACATGACTGTGAAGTCACCAGGGCCAGGAAAGACTTGGGGAGCAGCCCTACGTGCACACCCACACGGAGCAGGGCACACAGGAGACACCACACGTGGCTGTGCCCAGCTCTGCCTCTCCCGTTACCTTTCCTCAGCTCCTCCACCAGCTGGACCTGGAGGTGGCAGGAGCTGCAGTTCCCTTTCAGGTTGCCTGTCCCCCAGGTCTGGCAGCGGACACAGTCCCGGATGCTCTCACAGACAGCCTGGAAGCCCTGGGCAGAGGTGGGTGGCATGGTCAGGGACACCCCCAGGAGGGAGGGAGGACACAGCCTCTGAAAGGCAGAGCTGGAGAGGCAGCTCCTCATCCCAGAGTCAGGGCAAGGTCCAGGCCAAAAAGAGAAGTCACTGAGAACAAGCAGCAAATGAAGGATTTGTAAGCCCAGTTATAAATCCTTCAGGATCTCTTATACCAACAGCCTGCATTTGGGCAGCAATTAGACCTTCCCCAAGGGTTTCAGTGGCCTTTCCAAAACATGATCAAGCCAGCTTTCTCCATCTCTGTTGTGGGATTAGCCCATGTTTGTCAATGGGGAAATAGAGTGTATTCAAGGCCAGGTTGGGTGGAGCCCTGAGCAACTCGATCTAGTGGAAGGCATCCCTGCCCATGGCAGGAGAGTTGAAATGAGATAAGGTTTAAGGTCCCTTCCAATCCAAACCAGTCTGTGATTCCATGAAATGATTTTTTTCCCAGTCTTGAGGCAAATCAGAACAAGTCACAGGCTGAGCTTCAAACCAGGGTGCAGATAAATACAGACAGACTCTCAGTAGTTGCTGCTGGTGAACAGGATGGCAAAGAAAGGCTATGGCTACAAAGCAGCTCCCATGCCAGAGCCTTTCTGGCCACAGGACAGTTGAGACAAACCCTTGCTCAAGATTTTGCTCCTGACTGAGATGCACCTTTGTCTCTGCTTTGCCTTTCTTCCCTGGAGGCTCTGTAGGAATGAGTGACAACTCAGAGGGACTCACCAGAGAGTAGCTGATTTCACAGGTGGAGCTGGTGTACAGCGAAGCCATGTCACAGATGCATCTGCCACATTCACACCTCCCGTGGTTATTGCAAATGCCCTGGGAGAGAAGAGGTAAGAGCAGCACTGGGAGTCAGCAAGGCACCTCAGTGACCTGGAGATTCCAGCATGGGGCAGCCCTGCCTGGAGCAGCTGGGGAGGGCAGGGCAGGACCTACCCCTCGGCTGTCGATGCAGGTGTCGTTGCTGGTGGGACATTCACAGCCTGGGCCCTCCCAGCCGCTCTCACACACGCAGGCACCCCTGGAGCAGCGGCCACGATCTGCAGGGAGAGCAGGAATTGCCTGGGCTCCAGTGCTGAGCCATTCCCCCAGCCCTGTCTGGGACTCCCCCCTTTCTTTGGGGTGCACAGGGGCTTTATGAAGCGCAAACAGACCCCACAGCATCCTCCCTGCACCTCTGCACACACCTGCAGCCCATCACTGGTCACTCAAACAGGACAGTGCCACGGAGCCCAGCACATCCATCCCCCAGCTCTGGGGGTGCTCTCACCGTTGCAGAGGAAGCCAGAGGTGCGCGGGCACTGCAGGACGTCGAACTCGCAGAAGGCGCCGTCGAAGCGCAGGCTCTGCTCCTCGGAGTAGCACTGGCACTTCCCACACAGGCACTCGCCCCGTCCCGAGCACGGCTCCGCGTCCCCGGGGCGGACACAGGCCTCGTTGTTGGGGGATGACGCCGGGGAGCAGTCGCACGTGTCCCCTCGCCTGGGGACGGAGATGGTGCTGAGACAGCAGCACACAGGGCAGGACGCCCCGGGCACAAACACGTGTCACTGTGGGTCCTGGCAGGAGCAGGGGTGGCTCTGGACACAGTCCTTACCAGCCCGGGTGGCAGATGCACTGTCCACACACAAAGTTCCCGTGGAAACTGCACTTGGGCGAGTCCAACTCTTGTTGCTGGAAGTGAAGAGAAGAGCCATTGCTGAATGGGCCCAGCTGCCCACAAGACCATTTCAGGAATCGGAAGCGCAGATGCAAGGGCAAAGCTTTGCCCTGAAGGCCAAGCTCTACCACAGGACATCGCACCGAGCTGGGAACAGGCATTGATGGAGATCTTGGCCAGGCTGAGCATCACTGAGGGGTCCAGCAGGACCAGCGTGCATCGGCCAACACATCCCCACCCCAGGCTGGCAGCAGGAGGACACCTCTCTGCATGACCCCACCTGCTCACAGGGACACACGTCGCAGATGACAGCAGTTGACACCGTCAGGCTGTCGCTCAGGGACGTGGGTTTCACGTGGATGACTCCTTGCCGGTCCTTCTCAGGGAGGCTGCAGACGTGCTGCCCACCAACGTACTCCAGAGCCTTCACGTGCATGTGGAACTTGCTCTGAAGGAAGGGACACACTGCAGGGATGAGCCAGCTCTGCTGGACCACATCCCAGCTGGACACGGGGAGCTCATCCCCTCACACGTGCCTTCCCTCTGCTGCCATCCGAGGACTTACCACTTTTCCACGGGTGATGTTGAAGGAGCCAGATTCTGTCTTTTCAAATTCCGGGGAGGTGAACTCTGTCTTCAGGGCTCTGGGGGTGAAGTCAGCCCGGATGTCCATCTTGGAGCGGATGCGCTGGGTGCCAGAGGATAAACACAACGTTGATTTTCAGCAGTACCCTGTGACCCGCTCCAGAGGGGCCACATCCTGCCCTCTGCTGCTCTCCTGCCCAGGAGGTGCCCACCCTCTGCCCTCCCCGTGAGCCAGAGTGAAGCTCCAGAGAGCACCGTTACCTCAAAGGCTACGCGGAGCAACTCCACAATGTTGGAAGAGTCTTCCTGGAGCTCCCCGATCTCGGAGATGGGGAAATACTTGTGCAGCTTCTGCAGAGAGACAGCAGCTCCCTGAGGCAAGGCCTTGAGAACCCTCCTCTATCACGGGAGTGGGCTCTGCTCTGAGACCTCCAAATGTCGCTGCCAACCAAAATTACTCCCCAGCTCTGTACCTCCACTGCTTTACAAGGAGAAACCAACACAGGGAGACCTCTAGAAGCCTGAATTCCTGCACCCAGTAATACATCCTGAGACTTCCCACAACCTAGAGCAGCCCCCCAGTACAGCGTGGCACCCTCCCAAATCCTGAGGTGTTGGTTTAACACTTGGAGACAAGCGATGTGGAACGCTTTCTCCTCAGAGCTGAGCTGAGGCAGAGCCCTGAAGGAAAGGCAATCCCACGTGTCACCACTGCCATGCTCTCCTCACCTCATAGTAGCTGTAGGAGTGGTTGGTGACAGCAAAGATGGGGATGATGTTGTGCTGGCCCAAGAGGCGCACGAGGGTGGGCACTGAAGGATAGTCCTGCTTGGTGTCATACACGTAGGTGCCGTGGCTGTCCAGGTGACACTGCTCGTCGTTCCTCGCCAGGATCCCTGCCAGGACGTTGGTACCATCAGCTTCATAGTGGAAGGCAGACTCGGTGGAGAACACGAGCAGGTGAGTGCTGTCCTTTCTCCAGCCAATCTTATCCTGCAGCCAGGGAGGAGGAGAAGGAACCTTTACCTCTGTGCCTCCCAAACCCCTGCTGCAGCCAGCACTGACAGGGGCTGGAATACCCAAGGGACAAGGCACCACCTGCACCTGGCAGCAAACACAACCAGCCACGTATCCCCCAGGAATCCCAGCACCCATCCACACCCCCAAAGCACGGGGTGTCTCCCACCCAGCAGCTCGGTGCCAGGCACATGTGTGTACAGGGGGGCAAGCCCACGCTTCCCTGGACATGTCTGGAGCTGTGCTCATCCCTCAGCCAAGCCCAAGTGGGCGCTTTTCCAGGGAGCAGAGTTTCATCACCGCAGGCGTGGAGGGGGACAGAGCAAAGAGCACACACAGGGTGCCCAGAAAACAGCTCCTTGCTGGGCATCAAACACCAGGACACATATTCTACGAGGCTTAGGGAAAACTGGGAATGCAAAACACACAGCTTGGCACTGGGAGTGTGTGCCTAGGAGGGCAAGAACCAACTGCAGCTGAGCCAGGGCTCGCTGGCTGCCCTGTCAGCTACCCAGTGCACGGCTCTTCTATGCATCAGGAAGAGCCACTCATTAAAAACAGCCCTGGCCACCCTCACCTTGCAAACAGCTGTCTGCAGGATGGCATCAAAGCCGCCCTCGGGGGCATCCAGGTTGCCGGAGATGCGCTCCTTGCTGAGCTCCTGGCTGAAGTGGTTGATGTTGCTGGTCAGGCGGATGACGTTCTTGAAGGAGAACGGGGAGTCGGCGTTGTGCCAGGGCTCACGCAGCCTAGGAGAGATGGAACCAAGGTCTCGTGTGGAGCGGGAGCCAAGGGATGCTGGGGTGCAAGGAGAGGAAATGTGGGGAGAGTCCCTCAAGGGGAAGTCACGGAGCTGAGCAGCTCAGCCACCAGCACTGAGAGGGAGAAGGGATGAGGGCAGAGATAGAGGAGAAGACAAGATGTGCAGCCTGATGTGGCAGAGCAGAGAAGGCCTGAAAGCAGAGGGTGACACTGCTGGCATTGTCATAGTGCTACAGCAAGCCCCGAGGGATGGGGAGACCGGGGAGGACACTGGCAGTGAAGGAAGGATGGAGGCTCTTGCACTGCTGATACTGAAAGCCAACAAGAAACAGAAGGCACTTTCCACTCCTCTACTCCCATCTCAGGGACCTACAGGGCTCACTCACTTTTCGGGTCTCATATCTGTCTGAGGGGATGAGACTTTGTCCACAAACTTGCCGAATCCGATGGTGTAATTGGAAGTCAGGGCTTGCAGGAAGTCCGCTGGGAGGAGAGCAAAGGAAGGGGGACACATAAATAAAGAGATGCCTGTGAGCTCCCTGCTCCAGGGAAAGAAGCACTTTTGTGGGCATTTTCTCTGCTGGTGGGCTCTTAGATAAGATCCCCAAACTGTCATCTTTTAAGATCTTTGGGCTTTTATAGGGCAGAAACCTACACCCCCTTTGGCAGCCCCAAAACTGCAATAGCACCCAGCAGGTTCAGGATACCAAAGGCCCTGCACAGATCAGCTCTGAGGGGCACCAGCTGGGCTGGAAGGGGAGAGCATGTGAGGATCCCTGCAGGACCACAGAGACAGCCCCACCCATGGCTGCACAGAGATAATGAGAAGCTGTAATTAAAACAGACACCTCTCAGCCCATTGCCAGCTGCACGCCCATCTCTGGTGCTGGCAGAGGACTCGCAGCCACAGGCAGGAAGGAGATGCCTGCCTTCATCAGCACAGGAGCAGGCTCCCCTCCTCTCCCAGCTCTGCCCTCACCTAGGTTATGCCCCATGCTTTTGAGGTTGTCCAGATCATCAGACATGGAGTAGGAGAAGTCCATGAGGATGTAGAGATCCACAGGGCTCTCCTTGGGCTGGAAGACATCCATGTTGAAGCTCATCTCCTCGCCAGCCCTCAGCCTCATGTACATGGCCTGGGGAGACACCTGGGTCCTCTGCAGGGACACGTTGATACTGGAATTCTGTGAAGGAGAGTGACATGAAGGGATGGACTCCATCTCCAGCATGGGTGCAATGAGGAAGAGTCAAGGAGCAGGGAGATGTGTGGGAAGTACACAGGCAGGGATGAGCACATCCTCCTCCCTTGTGAACCGTCCAACAGCCTCCCCCACACCCACTCATGTCCAGCCAGGCACCTCCTCCAGAGGGATGTGAGCATTTTGCTTACATCTGCTTTGTCTGCAAAGGCACCCTAGCCTGGATCAGGTCCACCAGCTAGCAAAGGCATTGCTTTTGAGCAGACCCTACACAAATAGCAATGTGGGCTTTGTATTCTTCCTGCTGAGGAGCCTAGAGAAGAGTGAAGAACCCCTCGGGAGAGGCTGAGTGTGGGCTGTGTCCCCCCCAGCACGCACCTTCAGTGTCCTCATCTCTCCCTGGGTGTACACGATGCTGGCCTCGCCGCAGCCCGAGCGCAGCAGGTTCTCCCGCAGGTCACAGCGCGGCTCCTCAAAGCTCTGCCAGGGAGCAAGAGCAGCGTCAGAGCCACAGAAAGCACCAGATCCACTGGGAAAGGGGAGAAGACACAGGGCAGGAAGCAGGGTTCTGTGCCTAGAGCATTATGAACCTTTGAGAGCAGGAGCAGAGAGATGGGAATGAGTCTCACACAGAACCACCAGCTGAAATGTGGCCACCAGTGAGTTACTGGGCTGTGTGAGCTAAAACTCTCCCTCCATCCCTTGCACACGCTGTTTGTGGTGCACTGACATATTCTGATAAACCCCTGTTGTGCTGCAATTCTGCTCTGGACTCCCCTCCCTGCCCACGTTCCACACCAAAAGGAAATCCACATTGCACAGCCCTTCCCAGCCAGAAGAGAAGCTGCCCCTGCTCTTGTGTCCCTGTCCCACTGAGGGTGGTGGGATCCCTCCAGCAGCAGGGTGGGAAGAGGAGCCCCAGGCTGCCCTGCAAGGTCTCACCTCGTCGGTGCAGAAGGAGCAGTCCTTATCCACCCGGATGCACTCGGTGCAGCTCTTTGCCCGAGACAGCACGCAGCGGTTGTCTGCCAGGAAAGATCAGGGCATCAGGGATGGGGACAACAAAGGGAGCTGTGCTGTGGGAGGCCGTGAGAAAGGCTGATCCCATGGGAAAATGGAGGTTTTGCCTGGTTAGTGGAAACTGGCAGCAAAACAGCAGCAGGGTAGCATGGGAGGGTCTTCAAAGCTGGGGAGATGGAAAACAGCAGGAAAAGCACACAGCAGGCGTTCTCCACATGAAGACTGGCGTTTCTGGAGCCCAGGGCAGGTACACACAGTCCCCAAGGGGAGGTGGCAGGCAGGGCTACCACAGCTCCACTCACTTTTGCTCCATTGGCAAACACCGCTGGCGCAGAGCAGGGACAGGAGGAGCAGCCTGGCACACGCCCGTGGCAGCACATTCATCCTCTTCCTCCTGAAATAAAGGGATTGCTACATTGCAGAGAGCCAAGAGGTGGAAATGGAGCTGGATATGACCAGGGCAGCTCCCACAGAGCCCCTTCCCAGCCCCACTGGGGTGGGACAGCCCTCACATCCTGGGCTGGAAACAATTGCTGAGCTCTGCAGGGCAGGGCACAAAAGCAAAGCCAAGGATGGTTTGTCTTTTGCTCAGGCATTTGCAAAAGGCTCAAAATTCCCAGAAATGCCACCCCTGTGCCTAGAGTTGGTGTGCACAGCTCGACATGAGGGGTTGCTGCAGGCAGCTGGAGCACAGGAGGCTCCCAGAGAGAGCCCAGCACCATCCATGTGTGTGAGCACTGACCAGGCCAAAACATTGCTTTTCCTGGCATGTTAGGGATAAAAAAAAAAAAGGAAAACAAAGTGACAGTCCACAGCTCCCCTCAAAAGCGACACTGACCCCTCCCTTCAGCTATTTCCTATCACACTAAGAGTTTCCAGGATGGTCAAGCCAACAATAAAGAGAGGGTGAGGCCTTGGGAAATGCCAGACTTGGAGTTTTGGAGTTGTTGAATGAATCTGTGGTTTTGAGAGCCTGGCAGATCCCCTTTGTCCTGTCCAGGGCAGCAGGACCCCTTGATGGACACAGAGGTCAAATCCTAAACAGAGTGAACCATTGACTGAGAAAACTCAGTGCCATGCAGAAGTCAGCATTTGGATGTGGTAAACAAAGGCACAAAGCTGGAACTCGAGTTCTGCAGCTGCTTTGCTAGAGGCTCATCCTTGCACCCAGCAGGGCAAGTGAGAGCAGTCAAGGAAAAAACAAAAGTGCAAAGACATCATTAAACCATCTCCTTCCTGGCAGATGCAATTGTGAGATATAAAATGTGAATGAATTGTCTTATAGCTTCTTGCTGTGTCAGCCCTGACTCTAAAATGAAAAGAATGTGAAAACCACTTAAAACAAGGAAAGGAAACAGGAAAAGTTGTTGCCTGCAGTAATGATGTCCAAGTTCCCTGAGGGACATCCAGCACAGAGGAGTCACACAGAGACTCAGCCACTCACAGCCTGGCCTGGGCTGCAGGGAAACCCCTGGAAAAGCCCAGCCTGGTCCCAGCTCACACTTGGCCTCTGCAGCCAGGGGAATACATTGAATTGTTGTGACACAGGGCATCACCAGCACAGGACATCGCTGTCGGCTCCGTGTGAGAGGCACTGGGCACACAGGCAGCAAGTGACACACATTGGTATCTGTTCATCCTGCCAGCTGTGCCCAGAGGGATTTACCACAGCCATTAATGCCCAGTGGCTAAAAGTGAAACACAGAGCCTCAGGGGAGCTTTGCTGCTCCTCAGGACCTGGAGCCAATGTGCTGTTTTGCCAATGAGCTGCTTTTCCTGTGGTTAAAGGTACCAGTTGAGCAAGGGAGCTCCTCTGCTTCCCTCCCTGCCACACTGACACTCAGGCCATGTCCCCAGTCGGGCCTTTGCAGGTTTGGCTTTGGGTGGTCCCTGTCCCCCAAATTCCAGCTGCAGCACTGGCTCTGAGGCCAGCATTCCTCACCTGGGACATGCCTGTGACTCCTTCAGGGACAGTCCTCACACCAGCACCCGCTGGCAAATATTGTGTCCCTTGCTACCAACACAGGCAGATTTTGAAGCCAGGAAAATCCCTTTTTCCCTCGCTCTGCCCAGCCCAGGACAATGCTACAGGGATGTGAGGAGGTGCCAGTTAGATGAAAGGGTAGAGAAGAAATCCTCAGAGCCCATGGAAGGAGAACACAGTTGAAAACATCTGCTGAGCACTCAGCAAATCCCATCTCCCACCAAGGCAAGGGCCACAAGGAAAGAATTGAGCATGAGACCAGACTGCTCAGCTCACAAGGACCTAATGCCTCTTCCCTTAATCACCAATTAGGAAAAAGTCACCAAAGAACGGATGGACACACCCTGGGCCTCAGGCACATAAACTGCCATCATGTCTTTTCAAGTGCTGAGATAAAAGGCCATAAAATCCTGCTCAATATTAACGTTCTGTTGCCCTGTGAGCCACCAGCCCTCATGGATTTGCTGGGCATTTGCCAGCCCACTGGGTGCTGGTGGCACAGAGCTTGGCCACTGAGGAATGCAGCCTGCAATATTCATGCAAAAATATGGGAGTGGCCACCCCTTACTTTCAGAAGTGTCCTCTGGAAAGGAAAATGCCACTTCCACTTCAGGAAAGCTGCAGGATTTGGTTGGGTTTTCATGACAACAACAACAACAACAAAATCTGTTCAGTTGTCCAAAAACAAGGAGCAAGGCAGAGCAGGTCCTGCCTGCACATAAACTTCCTACTGTTTCCCAGATTTGCTCCAGCATTTCCTCCTGTTCTCTTCTTGCTCCCCCAGCCTTTGCCCTGCCCCTCAGCACAGCCAACAAACCTGCTCCAGGAATATGCCAATAGCCCCTGAGTCTGGAGAAGCTGGGGCTAGCCACCTCATCCCCAAAAACCCAGGCAATGCTCCAAATTGCTGCAACGGGACAGAGAACAGGGTTGGAAGGGCAGATGGGGGAGAGAGAGCAAGGAGCAGGTTGTGATAAGCCTGGTCCCAGCTGCCATGTGGGAGACACCTGCAGCTTGGGACGTGGGAGCAGGAAAGGGAGGGAGATGCTCAAGCAAGGAGTTCCCAAGCACAGCCTTTCCTCTCTTGGGTGGGAATTGCTCTTTTCATGGCTGCAGCCATGGGGGGCTGTGTGGGGACTGACCCTGGCCCATGGCATCAAGGACCTTCCACGTGTCCATGTGTGCTGAGGATTGGCAGTGTAGCCACAGCCCAGGGGATCAGGGACACAGCTCATGTGGTGGCACAGAGCTCCTGGGACCATGCTCCAAAACTTGGAAATTATCAAGCCAGACTCCCCAAAACTACCAAAAACTCCACCCACAAATCAAATAATCTCTTACACACAAAGTCCTACTGGTCTTGTTTTGTTTGCCTTCCCCATCCATTCCCCCTCCTTCCTCAGGTGTGCTCCTGCAGCTGGGGCACTCCATGCGAGTGTTTCCATTTGCTGTTTTCAGCTCCCAGGTTGAGTTCCAGAGCCCAGACACGGCCCCCAGCACCCTCCAGCCAGGGACAAAACACAGCAGGACCCACCCAGGGCACCCACATGGAGCTGCTTTGTGGCCAACACCCCCCATGCTGTGAAGGGCTGGTGGCTGTGGCACCATCTCCTCCTGTTGCCCCCGAGCTCGGGCAGGGAGGAACCTCAAGGAGGAGAGGCAGGAACGGCAGGATCCTGCCTGGAGTCTGCCCAAATGCCAGCACAGCCCCAGAACCCTCCATGTGCTCTTCTCTGCTCCTTAGGTCCCACAAGACACTTCTTCCCACCTTCCCTTCCCTGGCTACTCCTCATCCCCCTTTCCCCTACCTAACCCACGCCTGTCAGCCCCCTCCTACCAACCCTCCTGTCCATTTCAGATTCACCAATTTGCAAACACCCCCAACACCTGCAGTTCAGCAAAGCCCACCCTGAACCTCCCACTCTCTCCTGCCCTTTCCCTCCGGGACCTCCCTTCCCTTCCCTCGCTCCCCCATGGCAGGGGCAGCCGCCAGGTCTGGAAAACAGCCCCGGTGGGCCCCGCGGGTCAGAGACCCCCACAGCCCCCCTGACCTCGCACACTTCCACCCCTGAAAGCTTTCCCTGGGTGCACATCAGCCTTTCACCCCGGAACGGGGCTGAGGGACTTTTCACCCCTAAAACTCCAACTGTCCCCAAAGGGTTTTACTCTGTCGCCCCCCCCGTGGCACCCCCACCCAAATACCCGCGGACACAAACCCTGCAGCCCCCAAAGCCCTGCTCGCTCACGAGCGTTGCCTTTCCCAGGCAGCCCAGAGGCACCGGTGTCCCACAGCCAAAAAAATCAGGGAAAACAGAGGGAACAGGCGGGCAGGAGCTGAGCCCCGCGCTCCGTGTCCTGCCCACCTATTAATTCACTGCCCGCTTCATCAACGCAGCAAAGTTCCAGCGAGAGCTGCAGAGCACAGATGAATTAATTCCACAAACCTCATTAGCGCTGGGTCCGAGTGAGAGTCCAAATCCTCCGCCGAATAACAGGCACGCACACACCAAGCCAAGAAATTCTTCCGAAGGCAGAGGGGGAACGTGCTGCTTCGCCGATTTCCAGCTTTGGGCTTTTATTTCCCTTTTTTTTTTTTTTTTTTTCCTTTCTCCCTCCTCTCTATTTTGTGTCCCTTTTCTCTTTCCGGTTAAATGTCAAGTCCCGGTCCGGCGAGGAGTGCAGCCAGCCCTCGATCCCACATAACTCTCTGCGGCTGCCCGTCCCCTCAGTCAAAAATCCACTTTGTTCTCAGTCCCGAGGGGCTGGCAGGGAGGAAAGGTGGGAGCTGCGATCAGTGAGATGGGATCCCAGGTGAGGAGAAGTTTTATCCCAGCTGGGAGGGCTGGGAATGACGCAGGGCTGGCATTCACCGCTCCCTCGCACACCTGGCCGGGCAGGCACAGCCCTCCGGAGCCTCCCTCCGCACAAGCACCATCCCACAGGAAAAGGGCTGAGAGACGGTGGGAAGGAGCCCCGAGGGCTGCTCGGCTTCATCTGCCGGCTCAGGGCAGACTGAGGGAGCTCCCCGACCTCCCGGGGCAGGGGTTTCTCCTCCCAGTTTCCCCCTGGCACGACTGGGAGGTGTCACCCTCAGAGCTCAGGTGACTCCTGGCTGGAATGCCAGGGAAATTCCTGCCCCAGCAAGCCGCAGATACCGAGCCCAGCCTCAGTACTTTGCGTGCAGGGAGAATGGATCGGCATCCTGCTTATCCAGGGCATGGGCACAGCAAAGCACTCCTCACCTACAGTAAATCTGCCTCAAAAGTCAATGCAACCCCTTGTAGCACCATGAATGATTCCCATCCATACCTGCATCCCACCATGGCCCAGTGAGCAGCAATCCCACAGCTGATTCCAGCCCTTCTGCTGAGCTGGATCCAAAATCCCTTCCCCAGTCCAAAAAACAGCAGAGGAGGGTTTAGAGTTCAGGTGAGGCTGTTTTGCTGTCCACAACACCCTTTTGGTTTAGAGTCTGGGGTTGGCCACGGCTCAGCACCACTCACAGTTTCCACAGAGCAGAGCACACACGTCCTGGAGCAGATGCAATGGCAAAGGCTGGATTTTGGCTCCCTGATAGATCCTTGCAAGGAAAACTGCATCCCCTGAGCTTCAACACAAACAATAGCAACAGCCAGATGGGAAAATGGCACATTTCCTGCCTATGAGCAGGGCAATTTTGCCCTCCTTGTTCTCAATGTGGCATTTCAGAGGCTGCTGCTCTCCAGAACTGATTGAAAGATGAGGAGCAGGATTCTTTTCACTACAAGAAATTAGGAAGCTCTAGTTAATATATGCAAACTGCCTTAGCCCCAGGATAAAGGAGGATGTGCCTGTGCCATTAAAAACTACAGCAAATGGGAAACAGGCAGGGGTGCAGGGGAAGATGGCCCGGGCAGTTTAAATTTGGTATTTCTGAGTTTCCCAACACATAACGTGGCAACCCCAGTCCTTTTGGAGATGAGATTTCCTAGAGCTCCATAAAGGCATCAAGACAGCAACTGCAACATAAGAGCTGGGACATGAGACAAAATAAAGGCAGAGCAGGACCAGGCTGTGAGTGCTGATGCTTGAGCTGCTGGTGAAACACAGAACCTTCCCATGGAGGGGCTGAAGGCAGAGGGTCCTGATCTGCCTCAGGAGCCACAGCTGCAGTAGATGTTGAACACTGCAGATGAATTAAAACTGGACTTCAGTTCCCAAGATGGGAGGGGAGCTTGTGCTGGTGCTCACAGATGTGTCTGGTCACCTCACCTGGCCCTGTCCACCAGCAGTTTCCCCACCTCCCACTGCTGCAATTTTCCTCTTTGAGGTAAGCAATGCTGTCACTGCAGTTGAAAAAGCCAATTTAGTCTTCAAGAAGCATTGTAGTAAAAAGCCCAGTTATTTTAGTGGTGGATCCCTAACAGGAATCCTGAAGCCAATCAGAAAAGCTCACGAGCACTCACCTTCCACCACAATACTCGGTGTCCTGACTTTCTGAGTGTCCCCCTTTCTCCACCTGAGATGGAGAACGTTTATGTTGCCTCTGTAAAGGATCTTTGGCGTCACCTGCACACCCTGACAGCCCCAAGGCTTCCTGACACGCTCTGCCTGCCCTTCATCCCTGCAGCATTGAGCAGCAAGGAGGAACCAGCTCCCTTCTGCCTCTTCAGCTCTGAGGAGAAGCCCAGTTGCTCCCTCTGGGTGCTGCCAGAAGAGCTCAAGATACCAATTTTGCACCTTTTTATTTTTGAAACACATCCCCCCAGCACCTAAAAGATCCCAAGCCCATGGAACATGAGTTTTCCCAGAGGTGTAATTGGGCTGCATTTACATTTGCAGGGCTGATAAAGGCACTTTTCCAATATAAAGGCAAATTCCACCAAATTTTTAGGGAAAAAAATCAGAGAGGTATTAGAATTTTCCTGTAAATACTTATGAGAACATAAAAGGTTTTAACTTTATCTTGAATTTAAAAAAATTTAAAAGGTTGTTTAAGGAGTTGTCTTTCAGGCAACTTCTCCAAATTACTTCCACCAGGGAAGAACACCAGGTGAACTCAGGTTCTTGCCTTGGTTCCAAACCTTCTCTCCCTGCCTGCTGGATCAGACTTTTGTCACACAAATGTGCTGTTTTTAAGAACAGAGAACAGGGATTTCAGAGGCAGGGTGAGCAGATTTCAGTGCAGATGGCTCCACCACAGCTCACAGCCACATCTGTGATGAATCTCGCATTTATAAATCAGTGATTTTCTGCGGTGGCAACGTGGCCTAGAAATTTTTGCCCTAGGAGGAAAAACACGTAGTTTTATAGTTCACATGAAATTATTGCTCTCTCTGCTGACTACCAATCCGAGTGCCAATTACTGATAATTACAAGTGATTGCAGGGTTAATTATTTTATTCTTTTTTTAATGCCATGCCAGCTTGCAACAGAGCCTTTCTTCTTTCTGTCCTGCCACCACAGCATGCCTGGAGACAGCTTTGGGGTTTTTTCTAGGTCTTTATTGCACAGTTACAACCAAAATCCTACTGGCTGGAGCACGTCCATCTCCCTTTTTAAATTCTGTAACAACACACATTACTAAAAGAAAAATAAACACTTAATCCCATCACTGCACTGTACACTGTAGTGACAATATCCTGCTATGTGGCTTGAATAAAAGGAATGTGTAATAATGTATTATTAATGTACATTAATGTGCACATAACTTATTGCACTAAATGATGCCTAATATAATCCCCTGTTAAATTAAAAGTGCCAGATGAAATCCTGCCATATTTTCTCCCTAGGCAGCATTATCTACACGTGCCCCCTGTTTTCCAGTAGATGTTCCTTGTCATGAACATGTTCCTAAAGGAAAATCCCTCTGATGAACATCCTCGATGAACATTTGCCTCTGGGACAGGCTGGGACACAGAGGCAACACCAGAGGGAAACATCAGTAAAGGATCCAGGATCCAGCCTCAGCCTGGGGGACAATCCTGTCACCCATTTGGGGACAGCAGGGCCTCCCAGGGGTCCCTCAGCACCTCACCCACCTGCCAGAGGCTGAGCACACACTGATGTCTTCCATGCAAAACCTTTCCCTGTGAAATCCCAGAGCTCTGCTGTTTACCACGGAGCACGAGCCCGGCCCCAGCCAAAGACAAGCTTCAAATAAACAAAGACCAACTATTGGAAGTCATTGGTGTCCATGGTTCTCGCTTAGAACAAAAGGAAGGAAGTGGAATATAAACAGTCAGAGGAACAGCAGTGCAAGGCTCAGAGGTGAAAAACTTCTCCTGCAGGAATGTGGTGAGGTAAATGTTCCCCCCAAAGGGAAGAGGAGACTTTGGTGGAACTTTATTGCCCTTTCAGGCAGTCTTGAGCCTCCACAGCAATTTATTTATCTGAACATTTAACATCAGAGAGTCTTGTGGAGCCTTGCTGGGAAGATCTACATTTCTCATTCCCTCTCTGGAGATATTCCAGAACTGTCTGGACACAACCCTGTGCCAAATGCTCCAGGAAAAACTGCTTGAGCAGGGAGATTTGGGCCACTGCAGTCCCTCCCAGCCTCACCCATCCCGTGATTGCCTGCAGGTGCCAACTCTGGGCTTTCCTGGGCTCACACCATTCCCCCAGAATGAGCAGCTCGTACCCTTTGATGACTCTCTGGGCACATTACAAAGCCCACCTGTTTGAAGGGCTTCACAGGAGCTAACTTCTCTCCTGCAATGGAGAAGAGCTGGAAAGGAGCTTGTGCAGCTGTTGGCTGCAGCCATCACCTCCCTCACTGCTGGAGCTGTCATCAGCAAAGCCCTGGCATGGCCCAAAGCCTTGGCAAGGAAGACTCTTTCATTTTTTGTTCATCTCAGTGCATAACTCCCCTAAACAAGACAGTGCAGCAGCAATCCAACTAAAACATAGCTTCAGGTGCTCCCATTCCACGGTTTGAGGTGGGGCTGGCAAGGGCTGCCCTCCCCACCTGCTCCCTCGGCCCGGCAGCACCCAGGAGAGAGAAAAAAGCCAGTCCTGAACACACAAAATCCCTTCCCACACCAGCATCAAAGCAGGGCAGATCTCTAAAGCACAACAAGAAAATAGGAGAGAAAATCAACACCTCCGGGCATGGAGGTGGAAGAAAAGCCTTCAGAAGAGAGAGGGAGAGCAGAACCAGCTCTGCCAAGGATGACTTCATTGCTGCAGCTCTCTGCCTCTGCTGGGGCAGAGACACAGACTTGAACGTAGAGTTTCAGCTGAGGATGTCTCCTCGAGCTATGAGACACCCCTGCTTAGGAAGGAGATAGGCAGGGAGAAGCCCTGTGGTGTTCAAGGAGCAGAGACTGCAATTCTTGGACTATGGAATGATGAAAATGGGACTGGTTTTACTCTCCTGGCTATGGTTAGCATCGCTTTGGAAGGAGAGGTAAGAATGAGTATCTACAGCTTTCAGTCACAAGTGCAGCCTGAGCAGTCACTGTTGCAGCAGCAGAAGGAACTTTTTCTGTGTCAGCTCTGAGTTTGCCACAGGGCACAGAGGGGCAGCAGGGGCCCAGCTGCAGTCCTTGAGGGCTGTTTAGCACCCAGGCACTGACACACCCAGCAGGTCCCCCCAGCCCTCAGCAGGGCTCACACAGTCAGAGCTCCAAAGCAAACCAGTCCCAGCTCCTGGCTGGGGGCTTCAGGCCATGTTCCCAGGCCGGGAAGGATCCTTTTCCCTCAGGACATCACCCTTGTGTGCCTGATGTTCCCTCCAGCTCCTCTGGGGCACTGACTGACCACAGCCCAGTCCAAGTCATCAACCTGTCCAATCCCATTTTCAGAGCTGGGAAAAAGGTTATTTCCCTCAGAACTGCAGTTTCCAACCTGAGTATGTATCTATTACCTCAGATACAACATGCAGGAGAAACAAGAGCACTGAGTTATTGGCTGCAAGTTTGTCATACAGGGTATCAACCTGTTATTTCTACCTTAAGTCTCCACAAATGCGAAGTCTTGATGAGGAGTGACACAAGCTACATAAAAAACTGAAAGGGAAAAAAAAAAAAAAGAACAACCAACCCCAAACCACTGAATTCTCAGAATCTTACACTTTTGCTGATTTGGCAACCATCTCTCCTATCACTGCTTTATACACTAAGACAAAGAGGCTCTGCGTAGAAACTTATCTCTAAAGAAATGCAGACACATCAATGACACCAGGAGCTTTTTAAAAAGACTCTTCGATTTTTATACAACAAAATTTTCAACTGAAAATACCTTTTCACAACAGTGGAGCAAGCAGTAACTGCCATGTGTGCATTCACAGAACATCACGAGCTAAGACAAAGATGGACAACATCACAAACAGGATCAGACACTCTGCTCTGCTTCTGTCCAACCTCATTCCGTGGCAATGGAAGTGTTTCCTGCACAGGTCTTTGCAACAGACCTGTTGGTCTTTGCAAGTGAGTTCACAAATCAAACCTCTACAGCTTGAGGGTTCTGCATAGAAATCTCCATCCCTGTGAGATGGTAACAGGATGTTCCAGCATAGTTTCCTCAAGAGTTCCACAGTTTCACACGTGGTCACTAAGATCTACACAGAGAGCACAGGGTACAGGTGTCAGTGCTAGAACAAGGAGTGAGCCTACACTCACTGATGCAGTTTGCTTCAAGTCTCTGCTACACATCTGGACATGGACACTGAGTGGTTGTCTCTGCTTAAACTCCCTCAGAGCTGAGCTGATTCTGCAGGGAGGCACCTACACAGGCTGCAGGCAGCCCTGGAGCACCACCTGGAACACACAGGGGTAACACTGACAGTCTTTCATTGCTTGCCCTTTTAATTTATTTTCTTTTTCCCCCTTAAACCAAACTTGCAAGTAGGTAAGACCTCAATGCAGTAATT